TGGAATGTATTTTCCAGGAGGCAGAAGAGAGCAGATTTCCACTGGGATCTTGAGGAGTAATTTTCCCAGGGAGCTCCTGTTTCTCTGGTGCACTGCTAGTGGCTATCTGTCCTGGGGGTTAGTGGCTGTCTGTGTGCTGGAGGTTAGTGGCTATCAGTACTAGAGGTTAGTGGCTGTCTGTGTGCTGGAGGTTAGTGGCTATCAGTACTAGAGGTTAGTGGCTGTCTGTGTGCTGGAGGTTAGTGGCTATCAGTACTAGAGGTTAGTGGCTGTCTGTGTGCTGGAGGTTAGTGGCTATCAGTACTAGAGGTTAGTGGCTGTCTGTGTGCTGGAGGTTAGTGGCTATCAGTACTAGAGGTTAGTGGCTGTCTGTGTGCTGGAGGTTAGTGGCTATCAGTACTAGAGGTTAGTGGCTGTCTGTGGGCTGGAGGTTAGTGGCTATCAGTACTAGAGGTTAGTGACTGTCTGTGGGCTGGAGGTTAGTGGCTATCAGTACTAGAGGTTAGTGACTGTCTGTGTGCTGGAGGTTAGTGGCTATCAGTACTAGAGGTTAGTGGCTGTCTGTGTGCTGGAGGTTAGTGGCTATCAGTACTAGAGGTTAGTGGCTGTCTGTGTGCTGGAGGTTAGTGGCTATCAGTACTAGAGGTTAGTGGCTGTCTGTGGGCTGGAAGTTAATGGTTGGGTGTATATGAGTGTGTTTTATTTAATATGACCAAAAGAGCTAGGTGAATACTTTTGACAGAAATCTTTTATCAATTTCTTCTATGTTCAGTCTCATATTGTGGCTAAATCTGTCGATTATCTTGATGCTGGTGGTTGAGAACTATCTGGTGATGGTCTGTTGTGTGTAGAAATTACGTGATCCTTAATGGAGCCTCGTTGTTTGTGTACTGCCAAGTGTCTTGAAAGTGTTGCTGTCATCCTGTCTATATACAGAGAGCGTTGGGACACAGCTCTCAAGTGGGCATATAAATGCATAGACAATTATCCCTGTTTGTGTAAGACAGACTCGTCTCACTACAGTGTATGTACAGCTCGTTAACATTGTAAAAGCACTTCAATCACCTTTTGTGGTCGATTGCTTAATAACCCGTTACACTATTTGCAGGAGAACAAATCTCAAACCATGTCTATGTAAAACAGGAGAGAACGTATATGTGCTGGTAAAAATTTTAAAAGCACTACAATCACCTTCTGTGGTTAAATGCTCATTAACTCACTACACTATATGATGTCTATGAGATCTCTAACCGTGTCCATGGAGGACAGTAGAAAGTGTATATATATGCTCGTTTGCACTGTTTAAATATATGGTTACATCTGTGGTAGAATATAAGCTCAAAAGTGCATTGTTTGGTGTTGGGAGAGTTATTGGTGAGCAAGTTGTGGTTCCCTTTACCCTTGTAGCACAAAACCCTTATTCGTGAGTCTTGTGTAACTCAGGACTTGTCCTTCTCTTGTCAGCTGCGGAAAAGTAGTTCCTCCAGTTGTGTTTGATAGATGGGACAGGATCCGTGGTGTCGCCCTCATCCTCGGGAATAATGGGCACCGAGTGGTCGGGAGGGGACCTTTGCCACCCCTGGTGGCAAAGGTGGAGGCCTCCACCACGTTCTCTGGTGGCCTGGTCGACGACCGGGCCGCGGGGACGCTAAGCCCCGGAAGCACCTCAAGGTAACCCCCTACCGGCTTCCTGGCACAGGCCACTAGAGACGGTGGCCCTCAGGTAAACTCAGTGGCAGCCTGGCGTCTGATTATCATGAACAACAAGGTTCCAATAAAGATCACATCATTGTGATCAGATGAAATATTTCCTCCTCTCTAATTGCTCCTACAAGGATAAGCAAAGTATACAAATCAAGTGTAGTTTATGCTTAGAGTGACGTATTTACACCCATAGGTTAGGTTATAGTAAGCCCGGCACCATATTCTTGTAGGAGGGAATTAACTTGGTCAAATTTCGTGTTCTGAACCTTATGACACGATCATTCTCGCAAAAATTCAAGTTAAGATATTAATTTTAGGCCTGAGGCACCACGGAGAACTTATTATGTGTGGAGGAGATAGATACTTGCCAGGTCTTTATTCATCCTCTTCTCTCTAACTCAAGCCGACAACAGAATTCTCCAACACGGAACAGTGCTCAACCTCCAATACGGAACAGATTGAAGTCTCCAACACAGAAGAAAGTTCGACCTGCAACACGGAACAGAGAACAGGAATCTCTCTTTGTGCATGTCTTCAATGCGTTCCTCGTGTTTTACCTGTCACCCCTGTGGAAAATTCTGATTTTTCTAAATTTTATAAATCCCAAACTTGTATGCGAAGGGTTCCACCCCCTGTCCTGGAACGCTGTTTTCTTTGACGTTTCCACAGACACGCAGTCTACTGTTGACAGGTCAAAACTCTGCTGATGGAGTTGGCTTGTCTGTTATTTTTCTCTATAAAACTTGCATGAGCAGCCTTTCCCCAATAGCAAGTATTTTTAATGCAGAACTTGAAGCGATTTAAAATGGTATAAAACATCAACACATCATGAGCCAACGGTCATTTGTTGTTGACTCTGGCATTGTTCTCGTGGCCTTGGTGTCACCTCAACCTTCTCATTCCCCTGCTGATGGAAATTCAACATTGATTGCTTTTCATTTTTAGCAAGTATAAGACTGTTGAAGTTTGCTGGGTTCCAGCCTTGTTGCTCTTGACTCCAGTGACTAGCAAACCCTGCTGAAGAAATATTCGCACGTGTACTCTGAACGAATACTTTACATCAGTGTTCATAATAGTAAGATTTGACAACATCCCAATAGCCACACGAATGTCTGAGGCAGGGGAAGATAAAGTATTAAGGGATATTACCATGACGCGTGAAACAGTCAGGAAAAGCATTGACAAATTAAATTAATCTAAAGCCCCTGGTGTCCCTGGAATTCAGTCCAAAATCGTGAAGGTATTGGCTGATGAAATGTCGTAGCTGAGTCGATTAAGGCAGCGTTTGGGATGCTCCCGGACGTGGGTTCGAATCCTCGTCACGGCCCTTGTGGATTTGTTCATTTGATGCATACGCTATTGTGATTTCTGTGTTAGGAGAGGAAACTTTCAATTAACTTTTTCATGACGTTTTGAAACTTTAAGAAAACTTCTTGCCCTCCTAACCTACCAGAAGACCCTTAACTTATTGTTTTGGAAAAAATAAAAAAATTATTTAAAAAAAAATTATTTTCAAATTACGTCCATACGGGTAAACGGCCAAATTCAGACGTAATTTGTAAGAGGACAGGTTAATGCCTTAAGCCAAATTGATACTTTAGTTAGAGAGCGCTCCCTTTCCCAGATTATTTACACTGATGGATCCTTGCACCAGTCCTATGGTGCAGCTGGAAGTGCAGTTGTTGTGACAGAGATGGTTCCTTCTCCCATGAGTGTGGAGCGCGTCTAAGTAACTGGGCCTCCACTCTTCAAACAGAATTGGTTGCCATAATCCTTGTACTCGAGCGCGTATATGAATCCAAAGTTGACATGCTAATTGTAAGTGACTCCTTGTCATCCTTGACTGCCCTCAGCTCCCTAAGGCATAACTGTGACGTGCTTATCTCTGAAGCTAGACACAGATATAATGAAATAATCAATGATGGAGTCAGAGATTGTCTCCTGTGGATTCCTTCCCATATTGGTCTCCGAATGCATGATAGAACTGATGAGTTGGCCAAGACTTTTGCTCGTAAAGAGGAAATTGATTACCAACTTGGACTGCCTTTGAGCAGCCTGAGGGCAGCAATGTCCCAGGAACATCAACTAAATTTCGAAGACTTGAGGCAAAGTGAAATTCACATCAGTTACTCCATCTATCATCATTCTATTATGCCGGAAGAACCGCACGTCTATGGGTCATCCAATAATGATAGCAGACTTCTAGATGTTACCACTGCTAGGCTTAGGCTCGGCTACAAGTACCTCTGGGAATTTGTAACATCTCCTGATGTACATTTGACTAAATGTAAACTCTGTCAGCAGAATTATTCGCATACTTTGCGTCATTATATAATGGGATGTGAAAAAAATCGCGGAATTTAGAGATAACACCATTAATAGTGTCCAAGAAATGTGTTAGTACTTCATTCATAATGATGTGCTGCCCGAAATCTTAGCGAAGTATCCAAAATTTGCTTACTGTAGGTAATGCATGCACATGACTGTAAAACTGCCGCCCAGTTGGGTGGGTGTGCAGCAAGACTAGTAACTGTGTGACTCACTATAGATGTAAAGTGCCTCGTATAGTGACTGTTGTAAGCCTCTTGTTGAATCACTTGTGACACAAAAGATTATTGATGTGTGTACTTGTGTGGGTGATTAAATATGTATGTGTATGTATATATGTATACGTATATATATATGTACATGTATTTATGAGAATGTGTACATGTATATATAACATTAATAATTTTGTAACTAGTGTCAAAAATTGTTATTTGCTTAGCTAAACGAACTAGAGGGTTGAGTTCCTGAACCGATTATGTGCCTCTGTAATCCTTTACACCACCGCCCACGGGATGGGTATGGGGTGCATAATAAAGAAATTGAATTGACAGGTTAACGATTTGGCGGGTCGTATTCCGGGGAAAAAATTACGATTAATGTATATACAAATAAACTAAAATATAAATACAAAATAATCATACACTAAATTAAATGAGAAGAAAGGGTATAGGACAAGTCAACTATAATATGCGTTAGCCTTAATTACTTAATTTAATGCTGACTTTACCTCTATTAACTTTCAAATTTAATATTTAGGACTGCCTGAAAGATATTCTGCGTGATTAATAGCCTTGTACAAAAAAATATTACACCAATATACCACGAATGTAGCACTGTAACATTAATGCACATTTGCTTTCTAAATAAAATTACTATTATGAAGGAATCACATATACTGTATTTCATTCACTGAATGAATCTGTCCGGTTACTCTAACTGAGTAACCAAAGAAAACGTAGAGATTTTGGTAGTGAGAGAAGCGACCTCATGGAGCCACAACACAAGCCTCGTCGCCCCTAAATTAACAACAACTCTAGCAAGGTTAACCTCGGAGGATCCCGGTCAATTTCAAGGGACAACATTGAAGTTTAACTCTAACCTTGAAGAGTGAGGTGCCACGCCACAGCTCTAGTGGTGTAGTCATAGAGAGGAGAAGTTACCTTCACGCAAACTGCAGCTATCAGTGTACAGAGGAGGACGAGACCAGTCTGGGCACCATGGCCGGCACCTTGTCCAGGACACCAGGAAAACTGCTTCATGACTTTCTGAAGAGGTCAAATGTTAGGTTCGTAACCAACGATTGCATTAAAATGAGCTTTTCTCTCTTAAAAAAAAGAAACACACAAATAGCCAAGAATACAAGTCACATCATATCCATGACGGATCGCCAAAAAGTTTTTAAATCCTACTTAACCTAACTGTCGGATATATATATACCAAAAGGTGTACACCATTTCTCAGTATATATACGTCAGTCTTGGACTGTGTTCAGGACTAAAGTATATTTGCTGGTCAAAGAGCTATTGTGGTGGACTTCATAACTTTCCCCATGGTAGATAATCCTTAAGCTCAATACCAAATCAAACCCAACACAACAATATGTAGTTATGAAAATTGGGAAATGAGCTTGTCAAAATGCCCATGTACTATTTGACCATGTCACTTTGTCTACAACTGGTTGTGTTTGTTGCTGTGTGGGGCAGGCCTGGTGTATGGCACATCAACACAAAGGTAGACCCTTTCACATGAGCTTCTGATGGGTTACCCAAAAAGGGGCATTTCAATACACTTGATGCTTGATTTATTTGTGTAATCAAACCATATACAGTATTCCCAGTTTTATGTAAGATAATTAAACAATTATTTCTCTTCACCAGCATCTTGACTAATGGTTTGAAAACATCATCACACCTTGGCAGTGAGAAGATTGTCATTCCCAGCCGAATAAAAAGATCTTCCACAGATATTCTTGAGGTAAAGCTATGTAAAATTCTCTAGTTGACCTTATTAGCTGAATGGTCCATCCTGGACCATTCTCAAGTCGATTGTGATGAGGGAAGGAGGCGAAGGACAAGTATTGTAATATGCTTTATAATCTCAGTATTTGAGGCATAATAGTTAACAAAATTAAAAAATACATTCTGATCATTTAAGAGAACTAATACAGAAGCATGAAGTTCAGTAAGAAATTATAGTATGATATACAAAAATTCATTAATTGCAAGTTTCTTCTTTGAAAGGAAGTGGTTTTTCAAAGAAGTAAAACATGAAGGGGGTGCCACTGAGCACTTTCTATTAAAGTCGGAGAAGCTATCCTCAGATAGTGAAAAAAAAAATTCTTCAGATATATGATGCTTTTTATTTTATTATTATGTTATCTTGAGAGTATCTTCAGATGATTTCGGGGCTTAGCATTCCCATGGCCCGGTCCTCGCCCAGGCCTCCTTTTTTGTTACATACCCCCAGGAAGCAGCCCGTAGCAACTGTCTAACTCCCAGGTACCTATTTACTGCTAGGTAACAGCAGCATCAGGGTGAAAGAAACTGCCCATTTGTTTCCGCCTCCACTGGGGATTGAACCCCGAACCTCAGGACTATGAATTTGAAGCGCTATTCACTCAGCTGTCAGGCCCATATGTGGTTAAAGGATTTATTTCCTTTAACTACATATACAGTAATAATATTGTGTTATGGCTCTGCCACTGGCAATAACGATCTAAAGAAGAAGTGTAAAAAATTAGGCGAATTTTACAGTTCTATGTTGAGGAGGCCTGGTTGCGGACTGGGGCCACAAGGACATTGAGCCCCAAAATCATCGCAAGGTATGGACAGCAGCTATATGAAGAAATTTTGGATTGCAGAACGTTACTATCAAGTTGGGCACCCGTGAAAATATCATGACTGTAGAGCTTCTCGAATTTATGGTTCAGTATGGAGATGAGAGCATTGTCTCTAAGCTTCGCATTGCTATTCAGATAATGCTAACCATCACAGTTTCAATCATTAGCTGTGAGAGATCATTCAACAAGTTAAAACTAATACTTTGAAATTTAAGAGCCTCTCTGGGTCAAGGCACTCTGTGATCTTGTTCTGCTAAGAGTAGAACGAGAAAAAACTGAAAAACTGACTGACCACATCATAGACCAATTTGCATCAGTGAAAGCAAGGAAGGGGCAGTTGTATTTCCATGTACTGTAATGTTATAATTTGTCAAATAATAAACGAACTTGACTGGTATTATTTAGCTGATTTTATGGGAAAGTTACCAGAGATGAGTGTCAGGTGTTTGGATAGTGGGTGCAGTTTCAGTGCTTGCTATTGGCACTATTTTCCCTAGATATACCACTGTTGAAAGGTCATGAGGGTTACCTCATATATTCATCGATAAATATTGTAATTTGTAATACTGTATAAAGTTACGGAATTCAGTGAAAGTGATACGAGTATTCATTCTTGAACTGCTGCATGTAGAAATTAGAATCCATTGAAGTGTAGGTAAATAGAAAATAGGGTACTAGTTTATTTTATTACATAAAAGCTTTTTTATGAGCAGCCACGATTACTCGTATATTAATTTCTGTGTAGTGGGTTGATCTTTGGTCTCCACAAGCTCGCTCACCACATGGAGGGGCAAGATTGTTGGAAAAACCATTTTTGCTGTGTCGAGATGGTTATAGATAGCCTGGAGTAGTTGGTGTCCTGTGTATGGTGGGAATGTGAGCTGAGGGCTGCCCTCACCCCACATCTTGAGTACAGTCCAGAAATGAGCATTTCATTACGTGTATATACATAGTCTGTATTGTGATATAATTTTGTGTAAAACTAAAATAATAATTGGTGAAAAAATTCTCAATATGGCAAATTTAAAAAATTACAGAATACAGAGGAACCTCAATTCAAAGAACCTCGCTTCAGTGAATGTGTGGTTGGAAAACACACTTTTCACGCTGGATTTACTCACCTGATTCGACAAACAAAAAGTGGGGAATTTGTGGATTTGCTTAGGATGTCAGGACTGAGTTCACAGATGGAGGCTATATTGCAAGAAATAGTTGGAGCCTTGGAAACGTCAATGAGCATTTTTAAAACCAAATTCTATGGTTCTTGTTTATTTCCAGTTGCAGAGGTTTTCGTTCAGTAAAACATGGGCCCCTTTTTCCTTCGAAAATATGATTTCGAGTTTTGGGTGTGGGAAATATGCTAGATGTGGTTAAATCTCTTTACAGACAAATTCTCTTGGTTGTTCTCTTATTTACTCAGTTTTGTTCACCCTTTTGAAAATTAGTTTCTCTACGTGAAATTAGCCTGAAAGGTATTGGAAATGCATCCCGTAGGTATCTCCGATTGCAAAGAATTCCTCACTGTAATGAACTGGGGTTGGTCTCATATAGTTAGTTGAATCGAGGTTGCACTGTATTTGAATATCTATAATAGGTTAGTGAATAATACAATCTGAATTTGTAAAGGTCCACTGTATTTTGACACTATCAAAAAGCTATGTGATTTTTTTTTTTTTTTTATTTCAGGCTCTGGCCAGCACTGTGAGTCGTGACTTATCAGGTCCACATTACAAGTATCATGATGATCCATACTTAACTCCTGCCTCCAATCTTGTCAAGCGTACCTTTTCCTTGTCAAAGGAAGCAGGAAGGAAGGCTGCAAGATGGATACGTGATGAGAATGCTAGTCTCTTTACACACAGACCAGAGGAACCCTTTATTCAAGTGAGTAGTAAATATAATATATATACAGTATATATATATGTATTCTATACACATATACAGTATATGTGTGCATAGAATCACAAAGAAATCACAATGACATGATGCAGTATATTAATGAAAATCATCTGGAGGCAGTGGAGTGATTTGAACTCTCGTTTTGTTGAATCCCAGATACCTGCCTCTAACCGACTCGGCCACGATGATTCAAAAGTCGACCAAAACGGAACGCTACTGAATTCACTGGGAGGAGAGGGGAGGGGGAGGTGGGAATGAGTAAAGGGGAAGATGAGGTGAAGAATGGGGAAAAAGGGGGAAGAGACAAGAGGGCACAGACAGGTACCCCATCTATAAACATAAATAGAAATGTTTGTTCAAGGGGGGAGGTAGGAAGAAGCAGAGGGAGGAATAGGTATACATACATACATACATACATACATACATACATACATACATACATACATACATACATACATACATACATACATACATACATACATACATTCCAACCCATCCTCCTGTTTAGATAGTACTTTTTGTAACTATGTGCACCATAGTACAAACATTGACATACTATGCAATTAGTGTAGTAGAATTTTGTACTATTCACTTTATTGAGTCCAAAAAAATGAAGCTAAAAGACAAACCCTAAATATTCCTAGGCTTAGTATAGCAAACATATGCACTATTAGGGCCTCAGATAGCATTTGTTAGGCCTAGGAAGGTTAGGTTAGTTTAGTTGTCTTTGCAGCATAGTAGAAAATAGTTTTCTGGTTTGTCCAAATTCAATAGTACCAATTTCTACTTTCTAATTGCATTGTATATTGGTATATGTACTATGGTCTTCATCCTTCCTATAAGGATTATCAAAACTGGAGGATGTGGTGTACATTCATATACTTTATATGAATATATACAGTATATTCATGTATGTACAGTATTAGTATTATAGCATATTATATATAAGTATCTTGCTTAAATTCCATAAAAAAAGGATTTCATATACAGGGGTATCTCAGTTTAAGAGTTTAATCCGTTCCTGGAGATGGCTCGTAACCCGAAAACTCGTAAACTGAAGCTAATATCCCCATAAGAAATAATGGGAAATGAATTAATCCGTTCCTGACTACCCAAAAACCTCATTTCAAACTAAATTTTATACCTAATTCATCAAAATCTACACTACAAAAGTATGTTCAAGTTATTACTTACCCTTGCTGATGACTGCTGTTGGAGTATGGAAGATGGTGAGGAGGAGAGGTGTTACTGTTTGGAAGGGGAGTTCCCATCCATTATAACATCAGGCAGTGAGGACCTCTCTGGGGTGCACTCTCTGGCACGTTTTGCCTGCATACCACTAGGTCCTGGTTGTGGATCACTGCTCGATTTTCTTACAACATAACGATCCATTGAAGATTGTTTTTCCCTTCTTCGCAAGATGTCTCTGTAGTGAGGCATCACATTGTCATTGAAAAGATTAATGCAACGGCTTACTACAGCTTTCTACTACAGCTTTCTCTGGGTGAATCGCTTCAATAATAGTTTGCATTTCTTCCCACGTCTGACACCACTTCCTAATGGTTGCGGAAGGGACATCCTCTTCCTCCTCCACTGGAGAAACATCCTCAACTACTCTTCTTGCTGCTCCTTTTGAAGGGCTTGGAGTTCTTCGGTGGTCAGTTCTTCGTTGTGCTCTTCCACCAACTCCTCCACATCCACACCATCCAATTCCAAGCCCATCTTCTGGCCCAGAGTAACAATTTCCTCAACAATAGACACTTCATTTACAGGCTCAAATCCCTCAAAGTCTAGTTCTGGCACACATTCAGGTCACAATTTTCTCCAGCCAGAGATCAGGGTTCTTTGAGTCACTTCTTGCCAGGCTTTGTCAGTGAGTTTTAAAGCACTACAAGTGTTAAAATGGTGTTTCCAGAACTCTTTGAGGGTGAGGTTTGTGGCTTCAGTCACTTCAAAACATTTCCGGAAAAGTGCCCTTTCATAGTTTCTTAAAATTTGCTATGATTTTCTGGTCCATAGGCTGAATTAGAGGAGTGGTGTTAGGAGGAAGGAACTTTACTGTGAGAAAATTTCTGTATCTGTTCAACAATTCATTTTCCAAGCCTGGAGGATGAGCAGGAGCATTGTTGAGGAGAAGCAGGGCCTTGAGTGGCAAACTTTTCTCCTGCAGATATTTTTGTATGGCAGGGCACACCACATCATTCACTCACTCCGTAAAAAAAATCCTAGTCACCCATGCATTATTATTAGCCCTCCACATCACACACATTTGGTTTTTCTGCACTTTATACTGTTTGAAAACCCTTGGATTTTCAGAATGATACACAAGCAAGGGTTTAATTTACAAATCGCCACTCTCATTTCCACACAGCACAAGCGTAAACCTATCTTTCATAGGCTTGTGTCCGAGCAATGATTTTTCCTCCTTGGTAATTTATGTCCTCTTAGGCAATCTTTTCCAGAACAGTCCTGTCTCATCACAATTAAACACTTGTTGCGGTAGGTATCCCTCAGCCTCTACAAACTCTTTAAATTCTTCAATAAATCTTTCAGCAGCTGGTTTGTCTGAGCTGGCAGCCTCCCCATGCCTCAAAACACTATGAATATCACTCCTTTTTTTAAATTTGTCAAACCATCCCTTGCTTACCTTAAAGTCTATCATATCTGCACTCGTTCCAGGGGTTTTCTTTACAAGGTCTTCGTGCAATACCCTGGCTTTCTCACAAATAATGGCCTTGGAAGCACTATCACCCGCTAACTCCTTGTTGTGTATCCAAATTAATAACAACTTTTCCACTTCCTCAAGTATTTGTGGTCTTTGTTTGATGATTGTTGATACACCTTTTGCCACTTTAGCACTCATAATGTTCTTTTTTTAGGCAAGTATAGTGCATATCGTTGACGTGGATTTGTTGTACTACCTACAAAGTTCAACATCACGTGCACCATTTTCGTGCTTCCGAATGATCTCTTGTTTTTCCTCTATTGTCATCCTCACGTGCGATTTCTTGCCTTGAACCTTACCACTGGCTTTCTTGGGACCCATTGCGAGATATATAATAACACCTTTTATGCTCAAATGGTCAAATATCCAACAAAACACTGTAAATCCTTGTGAAGAATTCAGGCGGGATAGTCACTGGGCGCGAGGCATTGGTAAATTGAGGGGTGATCGCCGTGCCACCACGCGCTAGGTCGGCCCGTACGCGTATCAACACACTCGTTACCCGATGCAACGCTCGTATTCCGATGCAAATTTTCCGACCAAATCCTGCTCGTAACCCGAAAAACTCGTAACCCGGGGTTCCACTGTACAGAGATAAATAAGTATTGTTATCATGTGAGTGCAGTCTGCTTTTGTGTATTTTTATTTAAATGGTGCATTTAGTTTTATAGATGGCATTATTCACATGCTAGTCGGGTATTTGATGAATTCTTTGAGTGTACAAGATTATTACTGTAAAATAAATTATTTTTAGAGATTTAGAGCAGATTTAGAGCTCAGATTTCAGTCAATATTTTTAAAACTGCAGTCAGATATATCTAACTATCAATAAAAGTGTTCAAGAATTTATTTTATTTTATTTTCAGGCATTTTTTCCCAAAATTACTTACAATGAGGAAAGCAACGTGAGTGAAGAAACACTTCGAAACCTGATCCGGATGGGCTCTGTATCGGATGCTATCACTGTCTATCAGCTTTCTCAGTCTAAAGGCATTGGCAAGTTTTAATAAAACTGTCTTATGTATGCATGTGTATTTACATATAATTCAGCGTAGATCTCAGTTGCTCCCTGGAACTTAAGTGCTTGTACTACAAAGTATTCAGATTATATCAGGACTCTTTGAGACTCACTGGTGTTCAAAGGAGATTGGGGGGTCAAAGTTCCACTCAAAACTGATGAAAACTGACAGACCAAAGTTTTGTTTTTTAGACCAAAAGGTGTAAAAAAACACAAAAACTATTACTTGAAAGAAAATGTGAGTCATTGTATTTTTTGTGGCATGTGACCAATGCCAGCTGAAAGTTGTTTAACACCAGGTAACAGCCCAGGCCACACAGGTTTCTGAGACACCATTGTATTGTCTGTCAGTTTCTCATCCCCTTTCATTTTTCCTAGAAGCTGTATTCATTTCATTCTTGGTTCTTTTTCAATCTTCATCTGTAGAATTTTGATCTCTGATCTACAGCCAACACCATGATAGAGTTCGTGCAATTATCTTTGCGGTAAAGGTTTTTAGTTTAATGACACGAGTTGAAACTCTTCATTACATTGATCATGTATTTCTTTGTATTTTTTTTGAAGGAACATTCTTTGTGTTAACACTGTCTTCCAGTTGCTTGTTTTTATTGGGTTGTCTGCAACTTGGTTTTGGATTGGGTTTTTGTTAGTTTGTTTATGTATCTCGGTTGAACTTTCTTCCATCTATTCCCATTCCATATTCCTATGGAACCTGTATGTTCATTAGATAAGGTGTTAGACTTTATCTAGGTTTCAGTTAGCTCCTTTCTTTCAGGATTTAATGTTTAAGATTATTTTTGTTGGCTTTTGCCACTAACCCCTTGGTTAGTGATCTCCATGTATTGCTAAAGAGGCAAGAGTTTAGAAGGAACAATATATTCTACTATACCCAAATCCTACTTTTGTATCTGAAAATTAACTACTGTACCTGGAGAAGGTTTTGGGAGTTCTTCTATAGTCTACTTTCAACCACAGTAGTGAATTTAGGAAGGGTCCTGATCATTGTGAGAGTTTAGCTCCTGGTTGCCCACCATGCATTGTGTCCAGTGGCATCATTTTTACACTACAGTGCTTGAATCCTCACTTGTAATCCTCACATGATATCAAATCTGATTTCCTCTTTGTTAACCATCATTCTGCTTCCCCATATCAAGGCTCTTGGAACTTGGCTCTTTGGCAGATTGATTAAATTCAGAGTCACATGCCTACCCTAGAGCCTATTATATTTATAAGTTTGCAATTACAAGGCCATAATCTCTGCTGTCTTACAGAAAGAGCCATGCCCCACTTGGACTACCCATTGTCAAAAATTCCTGCTTTCGTTGACTGTGTGTGGCATTGACCAGGCTGTCATCCCAGTAGCCTCCATCAGCTTCCAGGAATTTCATTTTCTGTTCAGTTTTATCTTTATTTTGTTTGATACTGATTTAAGCTTTCACAGTGACCCCCTTACCAGAGGACACAACAGATCACACCTTAGGACATGAAGTCACTGAATATGATTGAGTTTGGATGGTTTTAAATAGGAAATGCCTCATATGGGCCACTAGGTCTTTGGCAGTTTCCTTTGTTCTTATATTGCTCATAAATATATTTCATATTGCATGATTTTTTTATCAGAATGTAAAGCAGAATTGTAATTTTCGTTTGTATTCCTCCATCAGAGTTGAGCGATCAAGTTCGGCAGGAGCTTCTAGAGTTGGTAGCATACTACAACTGTGAGGACCCTTTGGATGAAGATTGGGTTGAAGAGCGTTGGTACCGTCAGGGGGTCATGACAGTTAGAAAAACGTGGAAGTAAGTGTTGTTTTCCTACAATCAGGTTAGAGTTATGTTCCTGGAAAAACACATTCAGAGCAAACTCAACATATGATAAAAGTAGATTAGGTATCAGATACCAGTACCTAAAAATAAATCCAAGTTTGTCACACTCTCAATATGGCAATTGTTTCCATGTATAATAATAAAATTTACATTTATTAAGCAAAGAAAACGTAACACTCACCTCTTATGTTAATAATTGTCTCTCTTTTCCAGAGTTGATTAAAGAATTATTAAAAGTGGGATTATTTGGTGGAGAGAGTTGATAACAGGCCATTACTGTTAGATTCATCAACTGAATGATGACTGGTTGGTAGTTAGGAAAGAGTCATGTCCAAGAAGCCTTTGGAGTTTTACTTAATATCCAGCTAGCATGTGATTCTAAAAGACTTGATATGCAAGCCGGGTTGCTGAGTCTGCCATAGGTGATAGGGTGGGTTGGAAAAAATTTCTTGATAAATGAGCTTGTGGGAAGTGATAGCCTCCTATAATCCTTCCAATATGTAAGTTCTGCTTATAGTTAAGGTCAATAATGATTGGTGTCTGGATCACCCAGTCAGTTTCTTCACCCAGCGTGCTGTGCACACCGTGGTATCAGTGGGAAAGGGAGTGCGCTTACCAGCATATCACGTTCATTAGTACAGAATATTGTAAGATTCAAAACTCCTGAGGGTTCACTGGACTCAAAGCCTGTTCTTCAGGAGTCCAGTAAACAGACCATCTTGAAATAAAAATCTGCATCCCTACTGGCTTTAAGAGCTTCATTACTGTCAGCAACCAGGGCTGGTACATGCAGCTGGAGCTCACAGCACAGCTGTGCAAATCAGGGCCACAGCATCACTTAATAATATTGAATAAAATAAGTAATTGTAATTATTTTTGATGATAGTGTCATCCTGACTGTGATAATGACTGTGTACAATGATCAGATATCAGTAAACACGATGCTAGTTACGATGTTCACAGCGTGAGGTATACACAGCACCCAGGTTTTGTTCATCTGTGCATCATGGAATGACCTCATGCTCCTTTACCATATAACCTTGTGGAGATAGGTTCATATTAAGGACTTAATGACAGGAGTGTGATAGTAATAGCAGTTCTGTGGCTAGTCATTGCAATGTGTGTAGTACTGTATATTGGAAGCATTTTCTTGCATCAGGGAATTGTTGGTGTTGTCTGCTTGTATCATGTATCTCCATGCTGTGTTTTGATTTTATCACCACACCCATCAGAACTGCTTATTAGTTTGTTATGGTACATAAAAATGTTGATAGATGTATATGATGTGTGTATATAGTGTAGTAACAGCAAAACACTGTGTTTTATTGCTCAAAGAATATAATATACATATCACTATATATGAGCATCATATTTTTGAGCATAGCAATGTTCCACATATTTAACTACTTGATATAAATTCCTCAAATTACGCACTATTCAATAATATTAGTGCAAAAACCACTCACACATTGAAATATTTATATAAAAATATTTTTGCAGCAACGCCTGAATATTGGCAGATTTCCTCATCCAGTCATGTCCAAAGTATGTCACATACAATATTTTTGTCGAGTTTTCCATGATCAGGTAATGCATTTTAGCAATATTAGAAAACAAATTGGAGGGGGGGGGGGGGAATTTTGTACACACACACAGGGGGGACTTGTCACATTAATCTAATGCACAGTGCAGTGGTAATCAAATGTAATGGTAAACTCCCACACATGCCTGAAGCTTCCTAATCTTCCTCCTGCTGGTTCGGTATTGTGTGTGTTAAGCTCTCAGTCTCCTATATCTAATTCATTAAGATAATTGATTTTCACAAAGATATTGTCTGCTTGCATGTCATTGAACAATTTCATACCTATTCTTTGTACAAGGTTAACAATCTGTGCTCCAAATCCTGTGACATCATTGACACATTCCTTCCTCATTCTCCTCCAGACAGCATTAATTGTGCTGTTCTTTATTTTGACCCACAACCCTTTGTTCTTAATTGCATGGCATACGTAAGATTTGCAAAATTCCAAAAGTAAAGGCTTATTTGGTCCAACTGTTGCATCTAGACACTGTGAAAGCAAATGCTTTTGGTAAAATACTTAAAAAGTGACATCCTTATCCATGGGTTGGATTAAGGAGATGTTTTGTGAGAGGATATGAGATATGATTAACATTGTCATTGGGGGCTAGGTAAATGTGCAACATTGCCGAAGCTATCAACATCAAGAAGCAAAGCCTTAAAAACAAGGTGTTTCTTCTAGCAGTGAACTTTCTTTAAGTCTGGCCTATCCTTTTCAAGTTCTATAATCATGCTGGCTTAGTGCTTCATTATATTATGCGACACTACTTTATATATATGATAGGGTTCTAGTTACACTTTTCGAGGCTTTGAAGATTCAGGGAATGGTAAATTAATACCAGTTTGCATTTGGTTTGTATACCATTATTTTATCTTCTAAATGCCTGTAGAAAGAATATAGCTTCTGAATACTCTTATCAGAGTGGAAAGAGATATTAATTTAGTTCAAGGAATAACATACTGAAGAGAACAAAAGGTTATAGAATTATCCTGCTTTTTCCAGAGACAATGGACTTGCTGAAGAGTTATTTCAATCATTAAGCAACAAAGGATCTGCAGCATATTGTGCCTTAATCCGTGGTATGGCTCAGTATTATCAGGTATGTTTTCATGAAGGAGAATGTACTTGAAGATTATTGTATTAGTCCGTACTGATTAATCCATACTGTATTCTCAGTATGAATGCCATATAATTTTGTCATGTTTATTTACCAAGCTTAATCCATTTTGTATTATAAAAATTTTATATTTTTACAATGCTATAGAAGTACTGTATTATACTGAAGTTTGCCAACATAATGTTAATGAAGTTTTAATATTAATGTTCAGGTTGACAGAGCACAACAATTATATCAGGAATGCAAAGAAAAGGATATTCCTTTAGATGCAGACACTTATAATTCTCTCATCCGGGTTGCTTCATATATGCGCGATGCCTTTGAACTTCGGTGGCAGCTTGTCAAGGTAAGTATCGCACTTGTGCATTGGATTACATACAAGTGACTACCCTAGATGTGGGCATGTTGGTTGTGTTCCTTTAAACACCTTGCAGATATATAATGAAATGTTAAAAAAGGGCTTTTGAGTTTAAATAATTATGTACCGTATATAATTTTTCTTGCTGCATCTTCAGGAATTGTTGACATCCATGGCAGAATCAGGCATTTCCCCAAACTTAGGCACCCTGAATTGTACTCTGGAGGCACTTGGTCAGGTGGCTAGCTGGCGCCAGGCAAGGCACCTCAGCCTCCAAGTCATGTCCGAGTTTCATGGTCTTGGAATCCAACCGTCTCTAGCCACATATTACTACTTGTTGACGATACACTGTCGAGAACGTGAGTACAGTACTTTTGCCTATTCAAATTTTCACTTAATAGGGAAACACAAAAATTGGTCTGTTGAACAGATTTCATCTATGGCCTTTAACTTTTGCAGAGTGCAATCGTTATAGGAAACTGCCATCTATATGTGTATTTAAAAAATAGATATTCAAAGAATAAAAATAGTTGTTCTTATTTTCAAATAAGAGTTTAAAATATGTAATACACATGTAGAAAAAATTAACAAGAACTATACATATTTTAATATTAATTAAATTTTTATTTTCAGATATTGAAACCTGAATTAGTTTTTTTAAATGTTGCCCATAATTTAATGTTTTCTAACCAAATTCAAGGAGAATATTGAATATTTCTTGGTAAACTTATCAAAACAAAGCCACTCTGTCACTACACTTCTGACTTTTGCACATGAAACAAACATTTTCATATCCAGTTGCTAATGTTTCCCAAGTGTTCAAAGGCATGATCACAACACACCACACCACACATACCATGAAAACACTCGAGAGCACTGTCTGCAATGGAAGGGCTGAAGTATTTGGTATCCATGTAATATTTTGAGAATACCTTTGCCTATTGTCTTGGAACTTTCATCACTAGTGCTCCGTTATGGAAGGGCTGAAGTATTTGGTATCCGTGTAATATTTTGAGAATACCTTTGCTTTTGAACTACCTTGAAACTGTCATCACTTGCTTATGGTGAAAGAAAGAAAGAAGGTTCCTATTGTTATTGGGCCATTTGTTAAGTGAGGTTTGCCTATGTGAGTTTGTGTGCGTGTGTGTGGGGGGTGAGGTATAATGAATATGTATACAAATTACTACAGTTCATAGTGATTTGATTTTTTCATATAATTTTTTCAGGAGGACCCATAAGTCATATCTTGATTGATATTCTTGATGAAATAGAAGGAAAGGAGTTCACGATTCAAGATATCAAAGACACGTTCTTTTTTGTTACTGCCATGGATGTTAGCCGCAATCATTTGCAGGTGAGACGCAAGATTATCTAAAATTAATATTTGGAATGATATCAGGTTATAGGAAAGTGAAAATTGCAAAATTAATTATTCTGGTATTTGTACAGTCTCCAATTTAGGTACAGGTGATGGAGAGATCTGACTTATGATCCTCCTACTTACAAAATTTGATGTTATAAACAAACTTTCACGTACAGAATGTTCCATCCTTAAGACAAAGTTATAAAGATAAAACACATCAGTCAGTCCCAGATTTTAGAAATCAAGAGCTCAGTATAATGAACAATCTAGACATTCCGATCTTAAGAACAAAATCCCAGTTTTGTGGATGGTGATGTCTCATTCTGATTTTAAGAACAAAGTCCCCAATATTGTCAATGATAATAAATTCATGTCTACACACTAGCGTGGGTATCACAATACGGTTGAAAAATCTGCCCGGTCAGCAGTTTAGTCTTGTGCTGAATGTGTATATTGCATTGCATTCTGGGGACTGGGGTGCATTCTTCTAGGAAAACCTTAATAATAGCTGATGACAAGAGTTGGCAGTGGTGCACCATTGCCAAGGTAGAGGAGAGATATTACCTTGGAACTAATTAAACACTGAGAATGAAGTCACAATAACGTGGCTGAAGATATGATGACCAAACCATACATCAGAAGATGAAGAAACAACTACATTTCGTTATGTCCTGGACCATTATCAGGTCGATTGTGGACCATTATCGCAATCGACTTGATAATGGTCCAGGACAGACCAAACAGTCATCTCTTCATCTTCTGGCGTGTGGTTTGGCCATCACTGAGAAAGAATAAACAACCCATCCTCAAGTCCCAAAATACTTTCTTAGACATGCCCCTTATAGTGTCCAGGCTGCTTTCTATAACAGTTTCTCTGTCGTATACTCAAAGCTCGGGCACAACCAGGGTGCCTCACCCTTGTGGTTACCAGGATGACCTCGTGTGTGGAGTCTTGTGACTCTTTCAGCTCCCTGCCTTGTTGAAGAGGCAGGATTCTAGTATCTGCACTCAGTGGGCCAAGGGAGCGCCACAGATGCCTGCTGTGTAGGTTTTCGACCTAAAGATCAAGTGTGTAAGCTCTGGAACTGCACTGAGGGAGTGACCCCATAAAATACAATAGTTATGTAAAGTTCCTTTAATTAAAGAACTTGTATTTGTGAAGAAAGTTTGAGCTATACCATGTACATCAGCCAGTGATTCTGTTGTTCGTGCATCATGACTTTTTACTGCCTCTTCTAGTAATTAGACCTCTTCACTGCTCAAGAATAAAGTCAAATAAACAGGGGCAACTTCACCATTCAAGTTAAACAAAAATGTTGTTATTTTTAATTTTTTTCCTAAAATTATGTGATCTGCATTTTGATTTTTGGTGGTCAAGGAACCTAACCTCCATTTATAGAATTGTCTAGCAGTCTCCTAGATGATATATTGAACTTGTATCTTCATTTTTTACTTTTCCAAAGGAAATGGGCAAGCAATTTGAAAAGGTATTAGCTTCCATAGTGCACAAGTCATTAATGCCCAACTTGATTATCAGTAACCTGGGTGAACACAGATGTGGCTCGGACAGGTCACTTTCATTAACTAATTATGCCTGCTATGCTTTGCATATTAGTGGCTATATATAATACAGTTTTTGTACCCACTAATTAACCACTGTAACATGTTCTCAGGTATAAATAACCATTATTATTGTATTTATTATTATAATAATTTTTACAGAGCCTGGATGTGGCCCAGCGCGTGGACAAGATGCTGCACACTGGAAACAATTATAGTCTAATTGGAGATGCTTACAAAGAATCAATTTATTAGTAAGTTGACTTTATAAAAAAGTAGAAAGATTAAGGATTTTGTTAAAGTGGTTATGTTTCATTTATACTGCTTCAGTTATTTTGTATGTAAAATTGAGGAAGCATTTTCAAATGGTATTTGTTTAAATTTGTCTTAATTTACAAGATTCATTAAATATAAATGTGTTTGCAAATTATTCCTTAAACAAATATGAAGTATATTTCTCTCTCCACAGTCGTCACTACTTTGCACTGGCCTGTTCGTCGCTGACTATTGAGGATTTCATGGAAACATACAATGAGTTAGTCCCTCATATTTATACTCCAGAGCCTGGGGTTATGGAGGTAAACAAGAAAAGTTGTATGTATAAATATGAAAGTGCATGTCATTTATTGTAATCTATTTGATTCATTCTAATTTTCTTTGAGGGGTCCCCCTCCCATGCCATTCACACACACACTAAGTGCTGGTCTAGCCATGCCTGAGGAAAATGCACCAGATATTTGAAACTCGCCCTGGCTTGCCAAGGAACCAGGACTAGAGAATGTGGCTTTATAAATCCAATACATACCTGTACAGTATCTGTTCCTAACCTTCTTCCACACCCAATAGCCGACTCTCTGCCTCAGACAGACTCTGGCATTGGCCACTCCTATGTTAGGTGGCTAATTCTTTGGAAACACCAAATGTTGAGCTCTGATGTCAATGTGCAAAGTAGCATGAGGGTCTCAGCATTCATTGATGACATTTTCAGTTGATTTGGAGATACTGTACTTAACTACTGTATTACCCATCATGCAGATGCATAGGTATATATCCCCTGTTATTCCAGTCTAAGGACAGTAAATCTTCCTGAAAAATTCAAGAATATTATAAAATATAAACCCCCTTACATTTGCTGATTAAAAATAAGTTTTAAGGTTTTCATAAGCATGCAGTCACGGAGAACTAAATGCTCTAATTTTTATCTCGTAATAGATATTTTTTAAGTTTCCACATGATATTGAAGTATCTTTGAAGAGCTTATGGTATTTCTTTGGTTTTGTTCTATCAAACTGTGCAAGTGCTACAAGATTTTGAGGTGCTGGTGGCTGGCCACCAATGATTAGCCAGATACTGGCAACCTTACCCTGGCACAACTACTGTAGGCAGAACTGTACTACCATAACTGGTGCAAACAAATCCATCTCTGCTCATTACACCAACCTGTGCTAATTATACTAGCCTGTGTTCATTATACTACCCCTGTGCTCAATATACTACCCCTGTGCTCATTATACCAGTGTTCATTATAATGTACTACCCTGTGCTCATACCAGACAGTGTTCATTATACTGTACTACCCTGTGCTCATTATAGCAGTTTGTATTCATTGCACCAACCTCTTTCCATTATGCTCCCTGAACTCGTGATACTCCCTGTTCTCATTATCGGTCCTAGCCTAGGGATACCGGGTAGTTTTTCATTTGCCCAGATGTGATAAAAAATATTTAATTACACTGTACAGAGGGGGTCCCCAACTTAGGCATTTTCACTTACAATGTAAAAATCAGAAATGTATGTATTCCCATTGTAAGTTGGGGGAGTCTCTGTACATGCATTTAGTAAATTTGTCGGGTATTGCTATCGCATAGAAAGAAATAATTAAAATCGCAATTACAAGTTCACAGTATTTTTAGAGAATATTCTGCATAGAATACTGTACTATATTATATATGTTGATGAATAGCATTACAGTATCATTTTTTGACTTGCAGGAAGTATTGAAGTCTGTAAAAGTTCATGAGGCCCTACAGTATTTACCCCAGCTCTGGTCGGACATAATAGTATTTGACCAAACTTATAGGGAGCGTCTCCTGTCACTTGTATTGTCAGCTATGACTAATCATCAGCCATCTGACGAAAACGATCAACTTACTCAGCAGCTGGCAACTATTGCGTGGGATGTTTGGACAAGAGTGCAGGAACAAGATGAGACCAGACATAACAAGGTAACAACTTGATTCCGTACAGTTTATCACATTTTACAAAGGTCATCAGTAATCTTTCCTTGAATACATTTGGTGTAACTGTGATGCATTTATGATCTATTAAAATAATACTTGGACTTACCCACTTAAACTTTCCTGTTCTCAAGCTAATTAAATTTGTCTAGAGTTCTTGCCTATCATTATAGGCAAAATATATAGATATCTGTCTGTCTTGTTTTTATCCAGTCTTACCTTGCATATGCCAATGTCTTTCTCTTCTGTTTTGCCTAGCATTGACAGAGGTACTACTACTACTACTGTGTGCTGTGGGCTCTATGCCCCCCCCACCCACCCACTGTATGCTGTGGGCTCTGTACCCTGACCCCCTTCCCCCTTGTGCAGTCCATCCTCCGAATAGACAGTATGCTTTAATACTAAATGTAATAAGTACAATCCTATCGGCATAGTACATAAATACACTTAATCACCAGCATCGCACCTAAATATTGTGAATATTAGAGTTCACCTGAAAAGCTGTATAGAAAACTACGACCTGACCTAACCTAACCTTGGGAGTGTAGGAGGACAAGCATGTAAATAGCATTTATTGCTTCTTAATTACGATTAGTACTTAACCTATAGCTATAATGATATTACAATTTTATAAAAATAATAAAACAAAACTAAAGTCTTTCAATAAATTATAAAATAACTCAGGATATTTTCAAATTTTGTATGAAATCTCTATTGTTTAATAAACCTGAAAAAGAAATTCTTTATATTTAAAACTTGTGTATATAGAATTGAATACGAAAACTTCAGCCTAAAAATTTTGAGTGTATTAACAGAAAATAAGGAGAATATATGGGGAGGTAAATGTAACAGCACAATTAAGTGTATTTATGTATTATGCAGACAGTCAGGAATGTGCTTATTACATTTAGTATTAAAACTTACTGTCTATTTATTCGGAGGATGGGTTGCACTGTGTGCTTTGCGCCCTGACCCTCCACTGTGTGCTGTGGGCTGTGTCCTGATCCCCCACCCTCCCCTCACTGTGTGCTGTGGGCTCTGTGCCTTGACCCATCCCCCACCCACTGTGTGCTCTGTCCTGATCCCCCGACCCCCACTGTGTGTTGTGGGCTCTGTGCCCTGATCCCCCCCCCCCCCACTGTGTGCTGTGGGCTCTCAGGTTTTCTCTCCTGCAGTCCTAGGTTAGTTGCTTTGGTCCACTGGGTATTTTACCTGTGTTCTCTGGGTGTTGTCCCTTGGGGCCATCTAACTCCGAGGTGTTTGGAATTCCCAGTCAGTAGTGGCTGGTCAGGGCTGTGGCTGTTCAGGTTGTCTCCTTGAACACCTATTTAAAGTTCCAGGGGATCTGGGCAAACATGATGTAATGTAATGCATGTAAAAGAAAAAATTCTGTGCAATTTTTTGCAATAAAATATTTAAGGGAAACAGTTGTTAAAAATAGCTTAAACACATTCTTGACATCTTGAGAGGTTATCTTGAGATGATTTTCGGGGCTTAGTGTCCCCGCGGCCCAGTCCTCGACAAGGCCTCCTTTTTGTTACACACCCCCAGGAAGCAGCCTGTAGCAGCTGTGTAACTCCCAATTACCTATTTACTGCTAGGCAACCGGGCCATCAGGGTGAAGGAAACTGCCCATTTGTTTCCTTCCTCACTGGGGATCGAACCCGAAGCCTCGGGACTACGAATCCGAAGCACTGTCCACTTAGCTGTCAGGCCCCCCTTGTTCTAACATTTTAGATAATTATGGGAAAGTTAAATATATCTGAATCCTGGGACCATTCTTCCATACAATTGAATAAACATAGTGTATTTTGTAAGCCAAATTACATTTGTTGAGTGAGATTATAATTGTGCTAGTTAATGTTCCAGATGATTAGTGGAATAAATATTTTGCATGCTCTTTTTTTTTCAGGTTGTATGGACAGGTCAGATGATCGGTGATTTGTTAACCACCTTGGTCCACTGTAAGGAGTACAAAAAGGCTTTGTTGTTGTTAAAGGAAGCAAATATTAATGCCCATAAAATACTGGGTGCTGTACCAATTAATGCCTTACAAACACTGAATAAAGCTGCAATTGATAAAAAAGATGCTGAAACTTCTGTGGTAAGTTTTTTCAGTTTAGATTACTTATTTTTCATCATATTTTGGTCAAGCCATTTTGTGAACATTTTTGAAGATATAACTTGATCAGTTTATTATATTTTATATAATATGTAAATTGTCTAATTATATTTTTATTTTACAGAACACGGTTATTTATGCATTAGATTCTGGGCACCACGAAGCAGGAGAGATGGTAAAGCAGCTTCAGTCAGAGTTAACTCTCAGTTCAGATCACCGAGCAAAACTCTCTGCAATTTTTGGCACTGACCTCTTAAATGACTCTGCATAACAACTGTACCTTTTAAGTTATTAAGCTCCATGGAGAGTACTGTAAATGTTATAAATTTTGAACAAAAGCTCAGTGACGAAAAAAAGCCAAGGGCAATGTACAGGATTCAAGAGTTCTCAAAAATATGAACATTGGTTTCCTCAATTTACATGTAATAAAATTGTAGCATACTGTATACACAAGTATTTAGTAAAAAAGTAAAATTGTATGGAACTTCATTATTCTTTTAAAATACTAAGGCCAGTGCATCTTCCCATAAAAGTACTTTGTACTAGGTGTTCTTGCATTGGGAAAAAAAAAATCGTGACAAAGGCCAGCTGCATCACATGTTCTAAAGTGGAACCATCGTATTATCAGAGTGTTGCTATCTTCCGTTCATCTATTAATTCATTACCAGCAATTTAGGTTTAATTCTATTTGTAAGTGATTTATATAAATCATTACAGTGAAGGCTATCATGAACAGGTGTACAGTCATACAAAATTTATATCTTACAATTAGAGCAGAAAACTAATATTGGCAAGACATACACCATAGATTAGAATATTATTATTATCCTGTTTCTCATTTTTGTGGAGATGGGAGGCATTGGCTTTCAGGAAATAGGAAAGCAATATAGGAAAAGGTTTTCCAAACAATACTTACCAAGTACCTGTGTCCCCATAACATTAAATTAGCATTATTAATTTTTGGACAAGTTTCATTTTCAGTCCAGTTTCATTTTCAATCCAGTTTCATTTTCCTTAACATACAAACTTAAATGATTTTGTGCTCCCTCATACTTGCTATCTAATCTAATTTACAGTAATCTAAAAATATGTGCTTCAGTGTTTTTTTTTTTATTTATTAAGTTTTTATCATTGTTTTTGCAAGTAGCGGGTCTAGTATTTTTTTTTATTTGGACTGGTTTCATGATTTATCAGACTTGATCAAAATACAATTGCAATCTCAGCCTTTTATTTATTTGTAGGTTTTTAGTTATTGTCTGAACTGGCTGTGCAGTTTCTCAGTAGTCAAGGCATTAACCTGCAGCACCCCATCATGGCCCAAACTGTGTTTTAATTAAATTCCAAATATTTTATAGTACGATATGTGAAATAAAAAATGCTTAATATCAGAGATTTTACGATAATTCATTCTATGGATTTAATAGTTTGTCGGCTACATTACAATTCTTACTCGCCAAATAAAATTGTTATTGCTTTACTGATATCAATTGGGCAAAATAGTATGAACCTGAAGCTCGTGGGTAACACTGAATATTAAGGAGTTTTGTAGATATAAGTTCAGTGACACCTCGACTTACGATTTTTTTGAGTTGCGATGTAAATTTGGTTGGAAAATGCGACTTGACTTACGATCGTGTCGTTGACCAACGATATTTATACGCGTTCGGGTCGACTGAGCACATGGTTCCTGGTGGCACGGGCTGACCTGCCTCAGTTTACCAGAACCGCCCGCTTAGTGACAATCACGCTTATAAGAAATTCCATTATTTTGATGATTTTTTGTTTTTTGAACATAAAAGTAATTGTTATATATCATGCCATGGGTCCCAAGAAAGTCAGTGGTAAGGTTAAATATATGAAAACACATGTGAGGATGACCATAGAGGAAAAAGGAGAGATCATTCGTAAACATGAAGATGGTATGAGGGTTGTTGATGTAGAGTAGGGTAGAGGCTGTCCCTTCCTCATTTATTAGGAAAATGTGTGCAGTATGGGAAGAATTGCAAATATTTGCTGAAAAGTGTCACCCAAATCAAGCTGTAGCAGGCCATTGTGTTACCCTTTTTAGTGACTGTGATGTTTCACTTCGGACAAGTGTTACAACATAGGGAAAAACAAGTGTTGCTAGACAGGTTTTTAGTGAGAAAAACAAGCAGTGAGCCACAAGCAGGTCCTAGTGGTATGCAGGCAAAATGTAGGAGAGAGTGAGTTACCCAGAGAAGTCATCAATGCCTGATGTTATAATGGAAGGGGACTCCCCTTCCAAACACTAACACCTCTCCTCCTCCCCTCCTCACCATCTTCCATATGCCAACAAGAGTCCTCGATAAAAGTAAGATAAACATATGTACAGTGTACTGTATTGTAGTTAGAGAAAAAATTGTCTCCAGTATAAAATGTATTTTTAAGTTAATATTTTTGGGGGTGTGGAACAGATTAATTCAATTCCCATTATACGGCCCGACCCAAAGCCGCATTCGTTAATTTTATGGCACTGCGTATTTAGAATTATTCTCGCGTATAAGGTAATATTATTTCATTAAGTTAATAGTTTTAAAACTAAGTTTAGTGACAAGCGACAGTTCTGTGTACAAATACTGTAATATATGAACAACTTCCCAACGGGAAGGAGCGGGGACACCCCCTCCAGGAACCGAATTTACCTGAGGGCCACTAACACTAGTGGCCTCGATGAGGGCAGTAAGCAGGCGGCTTGTCAAAGGTCCCCCCCCCCCTATTTGCCCTGATGATCTTTCCCAGCAGTATTTTAAAACCCAGCAGGGTTTCGGCGTTTACGACTTCAGCAGGTAGGCGGTTCGAAGGGTTTACAACCCTATGGTTGAAAAAGCATCTCCTCTTTCCTGTCCAACATTCTGGCTTGTCGAGTTTGAACCCGTTGCTCCTTGTTCGTGTAACATCTGACCTTTTGAAGACAATGTCCTGATCGACATCCTCCAAATTGTTTAGTATTTTAAAGGTTTCTATGAAGTCCTCCCTGTCATGCCTGGTTTGTGGCGGTGTTAGCCCTGTGGCCCTCAACCGTTCCTGATACGAGAGATGACTAAGCTCTGGTATGATTTTTGTCGTAAGACATAGCTCCATAGCTCTGGTAAAACATGGCTCTAGAGCAGTTATGTCTTTCTGAAGATGAGGTCTCCATGCCTGGATGCAATAATTCATGTGGGGGCGCACCAGAAAATTATACAATTGAAGGTCTACTTTCTTTTCCTTGAAGGTAAAGGTACGCATGATTATTCCCAGGGTTTGGTTTGGTTTTTTTGCTGCCGCTCCCACTTGTTGTACAACTGTCAGTGATTGGTGGATTCTGACTCCAAGATAATGTTGATGATTCTTAGTTGTGTTGTGTTATGCCTCACGCGATGGATTCTGACACCAAGGTCCTTTTCTTCATCTATCTGTTGAAAGGTAGTACTGTCAATTTGGTAGTTGTAACGTAGATTGCTATGCCGCACATGCAAGGTCCTGCATTTATCGACATTAAAAAGTCATCTGTCTATTTGTGGAGTTCATGTAGATCTCTTAGTAAGGTTTCAATATGGCTTTCACTTCAAACTTTACCATAGATCTTAGTGCCATCTGCAAATTTGATGTGGTTTGTAATATTCTAATCTATGTATATGACAAAAAGGGTTTGGCCCCAAAATGGACCCTTTGCCACCCAACTCAGCACACTGGTGGAGGGTTGGATGAGATATTTGCTTGTTAGGCTTGCTATTATACCACTGGTTGTTCTTCAGAGGTTGTTTGGTTCTTAAATGCTAGGCTTGCAGTTACACAACTGGTCAGGGTCCGGTTACACAACTGGTCGGGGGCCGGTTACACAACTGGTCGGGCTTCGGTTACACAACTGGTCAGGCTCCGGTTAAATAACTGGTCGGGCTCCGGTGGTGTCACTTGGGCTTCGGGTTGTGCATGGTCGGGCTTCGGTTCGTGCATGGTTGTGCTTCAGATGTTTGTTTGATGTTGTTTGTTTGAATTGTTTGTTTGGTTCGTTCATGCTAGGCTTGCGGTCCACTGGTTCGGGCTACACAACTGGTTCGGGCTCCGGTTACATAACTCCGGGGGTGTGATTTGTTGGGCTTTGGGTTGTACATGGTTGGGCTCCAGGTCGTGCATGGGTGTGCTCCAGGTGTTGTTTCTGTACTAGTGCTACAGGTTTGTTTGCTAGGCATCCATGGTTGGTTTCTAGGACAAGTGGAGGGTTTTAGGTAGGGTTAAGGAGATTTTTGTTTGGTCGAGCTAGGAATGGAGTTAGGTTGGGCTCTGGGGCTGTTTAGCTTGGTGGGGGTTGGATGGGATGTGTACTTGCTAGGCTTGTGGTTACACAACTGGTGGGGTTTGTTACACAACTGGCCGGGGTCTGGTTACACAACTGGTCGGGCTTCGGTTACACAACTGGTCGGGCTCCGGTTAAATAACTGGTCGGGCTCCGGTTAAATAACTGGTCAGGCTCCGGTTACTTAACTGGTCGGGCTCCGGGGGTGTCACTTGGGCCATGGGTTGTGCATGGTCGGGCTTCGGTTCATGCATGGTTGTGCTTCAGATTTTTTTGTTCGGTTCATTCTTGCTAGGCTTGCGATTCAATAACTGGTTGGGCTCCGGTTACACAATTGGTTGGGCTCCGGTTACACAACTGGTCGGGCTTAGATTACACAACTGGTCGGGCTCCGGTTACATAACTGTTCAGGCTCTGGTTACACAATTGGTTGGGCTCCGGTTACACAACAGGTCGGGCTCCGGTTAAATAACTGGTCGGGCCCCGAGGGTGTCAATTGGGCTTCGGGTTGTGCATGGTCGGGCTTCGGTTCATGCATGGTTGTTCTTCAGAGGTTGTTTGGTTCTTAAATGCTAGGCTTGCAGTTGCACAACTGGTTAGGGTCCGGTTACACAACTGGTCGGGGTCCGGTTACACAACTGGTCGGGCTTCGGTTACACAACTGGTCGGGCTCCGGTTAAATAACTGGTCGGGCTCCGGTTAAATAACTGGTCGGGCTCCGGTTACTTAACTGGTCGGGCTCCGGGGGTGTCACTTGGGCCATGGGTTGTGCATGGTCGGGCTTCGGTTCATGCATGGTTGTTCTTCAGAGGTTGTTTGGTTCTTAAATGCTAGGCTTGCAGTTACACAACTGGTTAGGGTCCGGTTACACAACTGGTCGGGGTCCGGTTACACAACTGGTCGGGCTTCGGTTACACAACTGGTCGGGCTCCGGTTAAATAACTGGTCGGGCTCCGGTTAAATAACTGGTTGGGCTCCGGTTACTTAACTGGTCGGGCTCCGGGGGTGTCACTTGGGCCATGGGTTGTGCATGGTCGGGCTTCGGTTCATGCATGGTTGTTCTTCAGAGGTTGTTTGGTTCTTAAATGCTAGGCTTGCAGTTACACAACTGGTCAGGGTCCGGTTACACAACTGGTCGGGCTTCGGTTACACAACTGGTCGGGCTTCGGTTACACAACTGGTCGGGCTCCGGTTAAATAACTGGTCGGGCTCCGGTTAAAATAACTGGTCGGGCTCCGGTTACTTAACTGGTCGGGCTCCGGGGGTGTCACTTGGGCCATGGGTTGTGAATGGTCGGGCTTCGGTTCATGCATGGTTGTGCTTCAGATTTTTTTGTTCGGTTCATTCTTGCTAGGCTTGCGGTTCAATAACTGGTCGGGCTCCGGTTACACAACTGGTCGGGCTCCAGTTAAATAACTGGTCGGGCCCGAGGGTGTCAATTGGGCTTCGGGTTGTGCATGGTCGGGCTTCAGAGGTTGTTTGGTTCGTAAATGCTAGGCTTGCGTTTTCACAACTGGTCGGGCTCCGGTTACACAACCGGGCTTCGGGGGTGCACAATAAACTACTACTCGCTGGTTGAATTGGGGAAGCTTAATGAACTATCCATCTCTGGCGGCAAAAAATCAATGAAGTGTGCAACTACGGTCTAGTTGCAAACATTGCAAATAATCCAATGGATTATTGTAGTTGTGTTGTTTGCACCATCTTGAGTCTATTCGTTCTGTAATAAGAGACAAACCCCTCGCTGATAGATAATAATAAGATATACAACGGTATAAGCTGTGCGCTAAGCACGTCAGCCCACCTTTGATATCTATATAATAATAATAATAATGTTTATTCAGGTAAAAGTAAATACATTAAAAAATTTACTAGTAGAATGTTAGACTTCAAAGCTAGTACATACTATGCCTAAAGCCACTAATATGCACAGCGTTTCGGGCATCTACCTACAATGATTGTAGTGTAGATACCTTGATACGATTTTGCAATATGAAAGTTGTTAAGACAAACTTATTTAAGTCATTCAATTGTTTAAGGATAAATCGCCTCGCATATTTGAAAAATACTTTGGTATTATAATAATATAATACACTCATGTGCCATCTTATTATTCACAATTTTAACTTTTTCTCAATTTCTATTGGGCATTTTATTATCTTGGCAGACGAGAACCGAAGCGAACACACGCCAGCGCACATGTGAAGACGCGGAAGGACTCCACACCCATATTATGCTTCATACAGTAAATATTGGTAACTTATCCTATTATGGGGTGGGGTGAGAATAGCTTGAGCTACCTCATCCCTTTGTGTGTATTTTACCTCAATAAACTTATTTCAATTTCAATTCAATTTCAATTATCCTATTATCATTTTTTTAATATAAATATATATTTATATATATATTATATCTCTGTGTGTGCAGAAATAATATTAATAAAACAATTAAGGTCGTGTAGTGTACTCTATATATCAAAATATATTACTTTGTTATCCATCACTCTTTGTAAAATCTCTTGTATGTAAGTACCTTACCTAAATAAACATTTGATTTGATTTGATTTGATTTGAAACCCGTATCAGTCACTAAAAAAAAAAATTGGGCTACTCATATCACAAAATCGCTACTTTTAGACCCTCAGTTCGCTACTTTCAGCAATTTGGATCTGGCAACACTGCGCGTGTGTGAGGTAAACAACGCAGGTGGCGCCGCCTGAGACGCTGCGTGGGACCTTCTTATTTATTTATTTATTTATTTATTTATTTATTTATTTATTTATATACAAGAAGGTACATTGGGTTAGAGAGAATACATAGCATAGTATTTACAATCTTGTAAAGCCTTACCAATCTTGTACGCGCAGCGTTTCGGGCAGGAGTCCTTCCACTCTACACATCACCCACACTATGATAACCATAGTACATCCCACCAATACATCATCGTCGCGTTTAAATCAACAACTTGGGCAAGTCGTGGTCCCATAATCAACAACTTTGGCTAGTTGTCATCTCAAAAATTAAGAAACCAGACTTGTCATTATCCCAAAATCAACATCAATCCAATGGCTAGTCGTTCTTAGATAATCAGCAACAACCCAGGCAAGCCTTTCTCCCCAAACCATCAAGCCAAGCTAGTCATTGTCCCATAACCCAGGTAAGTCAATATCCCAAAATCAACAACAGTCCAGGCTAATCATTATCCCAAAATCAACAGCAATCCAGGCTAATCATTATCCCAAAATCAACAACAATCCAGGCTAATCATTGTCCCGTAACCCAAATTAGTAATTTTTCTGTAATTAACAACAAACTAGGCTAGTTGTCCCAGAATTAACAACCAAGGCTAGTCATTTCCTATAATCAACAACCCAGACTAGTCATTGTTCTAAAATCAACAACAATAATAATCCAGGGTAGTCATCTCAAATTCAACAACCAACAACCCCAGAGTAGTTGATTCAAGAGCAACATCAGTCAACATATCATGCAAGACATGTACCATGGGACACATCATTAAAAGAGATGAGAGGAAGATATATTTACATCAAAATTGCATTCAAATTGACATTCCATTGACATTATAAATTGTCAGTATGTTGAGTGTTCTACAGGTCATTTTTTGTTATGGAGATGGTGTTCAGACAAGGTAAATTCAGGTAAAACTCAACACTGATGACGCTTAGCCTTTGCTCTACCTCAGTATTACCGGGATTTCTCTTCAGTACTTTTGGGGGATTTAGTCACTACTGTTGATCTCTAATTCCCTGTGTGTTCCCCTGCCCATGGAACGAGCATGGGGCTTTTCAACGCCTGTTGTCCCCATTTAGTTATGGTCACGTGAGCCTGGTACATGTGGTCGAACCCCTGTTAGAATCAGACCCAACTATGGGATGGGTCAACCCATGTATCGCATTTCCAAAATGGTCGCCCATGTTGGAATAGGCAAACGCCGAAAGAATATTGTTGAAAACATCTTGATAACTTATTAAACCAAGATTATTTATTAGTCAGAAAAAAGATAGAAATGGGATCTATATGCAGGGTGTTATGTAAGTGCTGGTGAGAAAGGTGAGGAATGCTGCCGAGTTGTCATGCCGAAATTACCCTAATTGTTGATTCTGAAGATCAATGTACCCCTGGCCCAGTGTCTGACCATATTATCCACAGATGTCTTCAATTTCAACAAATAAATTTACTTGGTTTTTAGGGGGTTTTGTATACAATGATAGCACAAAGGTGTTATTTCATAAAAAAAAAGTGTTGGTATTTACAATCGTGCCTTTTTCTATTCTGTATTTGAGTGCAGTAACATAAATAATTTTGCTTCTTAGAGATATATAATACTATCTGTTGACGATTTCGGGTATCAGTGTCCCCGCGAGCCAATCTCTGATCAGGTCAAGACTACAATATTGAAATATTTTTTCAGGTCTGCAACTATGATGGAACAGCCTATTTGTTTGGCTTCTGTACAAAGCCATGGTCCAGGAGACATGCAGCGTTGCCTCATACCAAGTCCACTTCTGATCAGTATTAAAGGAACGGTTGGGGGATATTTGAAATTCAGTCTCTCCAGTGACTTATGCCTCATCTGTCGTGCAGTGCCTGTAATGGATTCTTACTGTGATGTGGGCTTTCAAGTGATAGCTTGTAACTGTGTGTACACAATGTCCAGTTCTGCCACATCTTTAACACAAGGAAATTATACAATCACTTCATCTCAAGTAACTGCCTTGAAATATGTACATATTGAACAAATAAATGTTACTGTTGTTTTAAATTTAGTTGAAGATGTGCTTAAGTATAGAAAAAATAAACAGTGCTTTGAAAATGTTTTTAGGGAATTGCTGAAGTTGTATGGTGTTGTTAATGAAAGCAAAATAAACTGTCAAAAAAACCCTTTGGCAAAACTTTTAGGTATTTCCCAGATAATAATTACAGAATGTTCATTGTCCCCCAATGAAGTTGGCACCATTACTCCCAACACTCGCGTCATTCTTTGTGGGGTTGAGAGCGAGGACAGGCGTAGGATGACTGTCCATAACACAATAAATTTGGGAGGACTGGACCAAGTTTTGGCATATCTCCGAAGAATAATCACTGAACCTTGGATAAGACAAGAGCAGTTTAGAAAAGCTGGAGTTCTATATCCCTCTGGTAAGTTACTTATACAGTATATATATAAAGTTATTAGATGTATTTACATAGTATCACTGAATATTGTATATTTACTATATTCAATAATAAAATTTACTGATGGGGAGTGAGTGAGTGTCACTACCTGTGTGCTTGCGTGGCTATTTCACCCGGCATTTTGGTCGAGGGTGCATTTGATTTCACGAGTGACTTTCTAGGGTGACTTAAGTCTTCCCATACTGAGTGTCAATAAGGTCTGGGGTTGGTGTCTGTAGCCTAAGATGCATACCCTGTGTCTGACCTACTTGGCTGATCTATTGACAGTTATGCAGCTGGCTCCCTCCCCTCAGGACTAGTTTTTGGTAGGCAGGTGTATCTTTGCCTACCTCTTGGCTTTCAATAGGCGCTGTCTCCATCCTTCCACCAGTTTGGTTCAGGAGTCCTTTCACCCTTGGGTGTGCAATATTTGCTACGATTGGACTTTTGTTTTTGCAGAACCACCCTGTTGGGTGGCAGCTTTCCAGGTAGCAGTGGCTGCACTACAGGACCTCCAGGTTCCACCTTTGGTGGCCTCTTTTAGGATCCAGGCATTATTCTAGGTGGAGGAATTTAAGCCATTATTTATTTAATAAGCACTTTACTTCAGTGTGTTATAGATAATGGCCCTAGGGTGCCAGTAGCTCAAGGGAGCTACTGAAGTGATACCAAGAATGGATTACTGTGTTTCATTACACTTGTAGCGAGTAGATTATCCCAATAATATACTCGCTCCAAATGCTTTGTTAATATTCCTGTCAACCTTTGGAGATGAATGAGGTGAGGCGTTGCCCGGGCATATAAGCAGCAGGATAGCAAACATTAACCAGAGTCTACTTTCAAGTGTGGTCTAGAGCAGACACTTGCAAGATACTGTACCGACGCTCAGTGCGCTCAACTCACACCAAAGTATCACCGGTGTACTTCTGTATATTCGACCAAATATATATATAGTATCTTAGTGTCTGTGTTTATTTGTCACCATACTTTACGTAACAATAGAACCGTTACACACTCGATGCTGTATTTTTTATCGTTCATTAAAAATATTAAATTTAACATTTAAGATTTGCACATAGCCAAATGGTAATAATCCAAGGACTGTTGATGGATACCAAACTTTTGTAGGAGTGCTGCTAGTTGGACCTCCTGGTTGTGGAAAAACTTCACTTATTCGCCAGTTGTGTGCTGAAACAGGAGCTTGTCTTGTTGGAACTGCAGGAGCCGAGTTAGTTAGTCCATATGAAGATGAAATGGCCAAAAATTTTGCTCAGGTTAGTAATTCCAAACAAAAAATACACTGCATTTTTAGTGTGTTTTGTGTTGTTGACAATGAACCTCATCCCAGTCAGATCTCTTATCAAATTAATTTACTAAAAAAAGTTCAGCTATTTTTAATAAATCACATTATAACATTAATTTTAGTTTTTATGTTAATTTCTTTGCTAAGGGACATAATTTTCTGCAGTATCTCGCATTAAGAAATATTCAATATTGGAGAAATATCAGGCTTTGAGTAAATATGAAAATCCACTTTCTCAGCAAGACATTCATTTGCTATCTAAGGTAAAGGGGACAAAATCATGATGGTCAGAGTAAGTAACACTCAATGGAGCATCTGTGTCAAGTAATACTAGTTTTAGGGAGGCACCAGGAAAAAGCCTAATCCAATGCAAAGTGACTATTGAAAGTTCGCTCATATACACTGTCTTTCCAGACCCAACTTTGCATCACAGGGATCACTAAATGGCACTCTTGCAAACTTCCTGTTGCCCACCTGGTTGCTTCTCGTGGTTGATGTCCAGATGGCAGTACCCACTCCAACACTAAATTGGAGTGGGTACTCTCTATGCCTCAAGCCCTATCACATTTTGGATGCCAATAAAAAATTTGATTTGCATGGAAATCAGAGAATTAAGGGAGAATGAGGGATGGAAAGGTAGGTAATTATCAGGAGAAAGTGTTAAGCCATTGCGACTATATTGCACTGGGAAGGGATGGGGACCAGGATTTAGGATAGAGCAAAAGAAATGAATAGTGCCTAACCACTTGGACTGCCGGAGACTGAACGCCAACGTGCAAGAAGCAAGACTGTTGATCTATGTCCAGTCTAAGTGGCAGGGTAAGAGGCATGGGAGCTTCCGAATATCTTGCTCAGAAAAGGGTTGTTCGTATTCACTCAAAGATTGAAGTAAAAAACTTGAGCAAACAGCAACAGTATTGGCAAAAACACACCTGAGCTGCAGAATGGGGCTCCTGAAGCTGCAGGACATTACACCCAGGTCTTTGACAGGAACATCAAATTAGCTGAAGGAGGGCCATCCATGTACTGTATGTGCAAGTGTAGAGTGCCACCATGCCCTGACCAATCATGTTGTCGTAATCCTGACCAATGGGATCTTAGGTCTTACCTTGGATGGTATCCAAGTAGAATATCTAAAAAATTAAGCCATAATATTTATACATAAAATCTTTATTTAAATTTATTTTTAAAATATTCATCAAATTTTTTTTTTTAATATCAACACCCCTTTAATTCATTCTGCTGATTTATTTTCCTTTGAGTATCTCAGTTTTCTTTAAATCTTTTTTCCTGCTTACTTTAATACATTTGCCTTTTTAACTTTCTTTAAAGATATTAAAATATGATGACTGAGGTTTAATTTACTGTAGAATATACTGTACTTACAGGTTGCTGAACAGGCACAAGCCTTAAGTGAAGAAGGACCCTGTTTGTTCTTCATAGATGAAATAGACTCTCTATGTCCTATACGAACAAAGGAATCAAGTCTTCATGATCTGAGACTTACAGCACAGGTGTGTGTGAGAACAGTGTTTCAAAAAAGCAGCAAGATGATGCATTTCTGCCTTGCTGAGTGTTGAATGCTTATTTGGATTTTATAACCTCATGGAATGGAAAACTGGTCTGAACCTCCAAATGAAGCTTTGTGTGTAACTGCTAGATGTAAGAATGACATACATACATAGTATTGCACACTAGCACTCACTCCAACATCAAGGAAGAGTGTAAGGAGCCCCAGTAAGAGTGGACTATCATGCTAGAAAGAGGGGGGGGGGGGCAAGTCTGCAGGCAGCCAAATTATGCCCTAGAGTTGGGTGGGTGTCCATGTCTTCATGCTACTGTACATGATTCCTCACTTCCCTTCACTAAACCTCTCCTTCCCTCCAACCTCAGTTCCCAAGTTTTATTCTTTGGCTTTGCAAGAAAGTAACATTTACACAGTAAAATTATTGCAAACACCATTATACTTTCTTGTAAATATTTAATTGGATAATTAAATAAAAAATGCAAATACAGTATTGGGTACTGCCATTTGCAGTCCATCACACCATTACATTCCTTTTGTCCCACCTCCCACCCTATTTTCCATCCCCAAGCCCTCTGATCTCTTCCCAACTGGCTGGCTGGATGTTGGGAGAGTTTCTGATTAGATGAATGTGGAAGGTACCTTTTGACCAGGTACCTCATGAATGTGGTGGTTGGCATGTGAGGGCTCTAGGCGACCTTGTCTGCCATCTAGTTCATCAAGGTTGGATTTATATCCAGCACCAACAGTTGTTTTCCCTTGTTTTCCCTCAAGGTTGCTTATTTCCTTCAACAGTTGCTTGTTTTCATGTGCTTATACTTTTTGGTGGTATTTTCTCAGATTTGGGTTCATCTCTGCTCTCAAAGAGAGAGATCCAGATTCTGGTCCTGGATCCCATTAGGCCTGGGTGAGTCACAGAGGGCTGGTGTGACTCCCACAAGTTTGGCTACCCTAGTGTGCTGTAGCTACAGGCCCACTAGATACGATGACCAACCACAACTCAGAAGATGGAGAAGCGAGGATATTTCGGTCCGTCCTGGACTAGTATTAAGTCGTTTCAGCCTAGGATGGACAGAAACGTCGTCACTTCTTCATCTTCTGAGTTGTGGTTTGGCCATCAACGTTTCTTTACATTTAATGCTTGAATTTTTCCTCCAAATACGAATTTCGAATTAGGTTCATTGTTTAGGGGGATGTGTTATATGGAGTTATGGGTTGTAGAGGGTGCACTGTACATTAATTTTTTCTTAAAAATATAAGACAACTACATACCTTTATGGGATTTTTAATATACTGTATTATCTGTTTTTTAGGTGCTTCTAACTCTAGATGAGTGTAGAAAGTGTTCCAATCTTACAATCATGGCTGCAACTAATCGTCCATTTGACCTAGATCCAGCACTTAGAAGGTCAGGGCGCCTGGAAATTGAGGTGAGTGGAAATTTTGTCAAATTATGGCTTATAATAGCTAAATATTGTTGTATTGACTTAATTGAGCTATTTTCCAACATTTAAAATTTATTATGAAAGGATTTAAACCTTTTTACAATAAAAATATTTTAAACTACTTGGCCATTTCCTTAGGCAAGAATTGTATAACCCTCTGGATTCAGTATACTGTACTGTTAGGGTCAGTGCAAAATTTATCATATTATTTAATGTCTTCAAACATTAGCTTGTTTTGTTTCACCTTACCTTTCTAGTGGGGTTTTCTTGGTTTTGGGGAGGTTATCTCGAGATGATTTCGGGGCTTAGTGTCCCGGCGGCCTGGTCCTTGACCAGGGCTCCACCCCCAGGGAGCAGCCCGTAGCAGCTGTCTAACTCCCAGGTACCTATTTACTGCTAGGTAACAGGGGCATCAGGGTGAAAGAAACATTTTGCCCATTTGTTTCCACCTGCACCGGGGATCGAACCCGGAACCTCAGGACTATGAATCCGTAGCGCTGTCCACCCAGCTATCAGGTCTGTGATTCCCTAAGTTCCCCTCAACTCAAAGAGGGAACAGATTCTGGTCTTAGCTCATGGAAGGTCAGCATGGGCATCAGAGGCTTGGTGCATTTCCTAACGCTCAATTATACTGTACCAATGTATAAGCTCCAGGGAGTTACTGGCGGCTTTCCAGAAAAGTGTGCTTCATCATATTCAACGTTTTACTTTTTCCCCAGGTACTTGTGAACGTTCCTTCAGCAACTGACCGGGCAAGTATACTGAATGTCCACAGCAGCAAATTGTTGCCCAGCAATCACCCGGGCTTAACCCAAGTTGCTAAGGCCACACCTGGTTTTGTTGGGGCTGACCTTCAAGCTTTAACTGAGGTTACACAGTTGCAAGTTAATGCTAAGCATGCACTCAAGGTGAGAAATAAAATATTATTTGTAATACATAGAAATATAATAAATTAAAGGGTGGGGAGGTGGAATAAAAAAAAATGCTTACCAGTCGGTACCTACAGGGAGTGAGATAGTGTTCTTGGGGTCTGCCTACCGAGTCAACCAGTTTATCTGTGGCTGCCTTCATGCTTGTCCGCCTGACCACATCTGTCTAACTTTGACTTACTGACTGATTTTGACTAAATGATTACTTTCAATTTTGACTGACATATCTGAGATTTTTTTATTGATTACATGATATTGATTCTTTATTGATTTGGATTGCTGTCTATTTTACATGTTTAAATGTGTGTCAAAGCTGAGGAATGCACCATCCATCCCTCCCTATACCCTCCCCCCCATCTGTAGAGGTAGGAGTCTCTGACATACTGTAACAGAGTATTATTGCATATGTAAATATATAAGTGTAATACCACGTGTAAGTTTAATATTCGTAGTCGGAGGTTTGATTATGATGAGATATGCATCAACACTTTGGGCTGTTGCTAGTGATGTAATTTTGTGGCTTTGGTTCAAGTACGTTTATGGAGACAATAAAATACATCTCAAAGGGATAAAGTAGCTTAGGCTCTTTCTACCGTCCTTGTGGCTTTCGTGTTTGTTCTTTGCACCAAATCCTGCTCTTTCTTTGCAGCCCTTTGCGAATCTTAGGTATGGTCTCTGTTCTCATGAGCTCTCTTCATATTTGGCCTCCTAAACCCTGACACAAGTTGTTCTGGTGCCATTCCACCCTCACACCATGGCTCTACAGGTGCCAAGGGAACTACTGGGGGTCCACCAGAAAAGGGAGTTTCAATATATTCAACACTTGATTTTCAACTCATAAAATAAAGTGCCCATTTCTGAGTGATACCTGCTCAACCTACCCCTTTTTTGTTCCTCCTTACCAGAGTACTGTCTAGGGCATAAAGTTAAATTTGGCTACCTTCCCCGATTTGTTTACAAAGTAGTGTTGCCATTTAGTGACAATTAGTGTAATTGGGTGATGGATCTTAAGATTTTTTAGAACTGTGCTCATATTTAGGTATGATTTCTATTGTGCTCTCTGGAAGGGCACTCAGAGCGATGGCATGAGGCACAGGGGAGCTACTGAGGAGCCACTCAGAAAAGGCTGGTCCATTTAACTCTACACTTTATTTTTCCAGAAACCTGTGACTTCAGAAGAGATCATTGATATTATGTTAGCCAATGCTGCATCTATCATTCCAAGCATTCACAAAACTCTTGAGTTCATTACTGCCAAGCCTCCAGGATCACCAGTTGGAGGACTACAAGAAGTAAAAGCAAAATTAGACCAAGTATTTACACATCATGTAAAATTTGCTACTGCTTACAATAAGTTAAAACTGAAGCGACCCAGAGGTAAGAAATTTGCCAGACATGTATTATCAACTATTACCTGTTAAATTACTTTTTAACATTTGTGTATTGGCTTGGGGCACTGATTACCAGTTCAAGTATTTTCTGAGCGTGGCTGAAATACTGAGTACTGTACTTAGTTCTGTTTAATATCTAGATAAAATGCCAAGATCCGTTGCTCCGGGCATTTTATGTTGTTGATAACTACTATGAGCGGCTTGCACACCTGTCCTAGCCTAGTTAGAAAGGCTTGGTTGAGGACCAGGCCACGTGGAGGCTAAGCCCCAAAATCATTGCAAGGTAACAGCAAGATAACTGAACACAGTAGTGGTTGACCAAACCACACACTAAAAAGTGAAGGGACAACGACGTTTCGGTCCGTCCTGGACCATTCTCAAGTCGATTGTGATGAGGGAAAGAATTAAAGGCAATAAATAGGCTATTACTATCCCTTTCTTATTGGGTGGTTATAAATAGGAGCTGCCTCGTATGGGCCAATAGGCCTTCTGCAGTTACGTTTGTTCTTGTGTTCTTATGTTCTTATTCCTATTACTATACCCTTTATTTCACCTTACCTTTCATACCTTTTGCCTTGCTTTTCTTCCTATAAGATTTTCTTCTCACCTCTCTCTTGCCTATTTATTGCCTATAACTCCTTCCCTCATCACAATCGACTTGAGAATGGTCCAGGACAGACCGAAACGTCGTCGTCCCTTCATTTTCTAGTGTGTTGTTTGGTCAACATATTTCAGCCACGTTATTATGACTCCTCGTCTACACACAGTAGTGGTCCAACCTTAAAATAGTCTTGGACACCTGTTCACCAGTTGATTGAAAGCTATGAGGTAAGACTCTGAGCTGAAGTAAATCTGGGAGAGACGTTGATAAATACATATACACTCGATGCTTAAAAGCTTAGCTGTAAAAAATGATGCACTAGGAGTGAATGGAGTTGATAGCAGTTTGTGGCTCAACTCACTTCCAGCAGAATGTGCAGCATAAAATACCGAAAACATACCGAGGTGTTTAACACACACTTATACATCTTGACTGATGAGCCTACACAAGCTTGATTAAGAAAGTCATGATGACTAATAGTAAGCAATAACTCTTCACAGCTCCTGCTTGGCCACTGGTCAAAACTAACCTACATGAATACACACCTCATTCTGACTAAATATTTAAAATATCTCTGGTATTTGTCAGCAAAGAAAAGCTTATAATAGTAATTTATGCATGCTGATTAAGACTGACAGCACAAATTTTCTCCCTCACGTCTGTGTTTCTCTTTAAATATCACCTGACGTACTTTATTAAATCATATATTGACAAGATTTGATGCTGATCAATATTTGATCAATCTTTCTGGTAATTTATAATTTGTGTGAGGAGTTTTCATAATTCTTATAGTCAAGACTGTGGCTATTTAATTTGTTATACTTTTCAGGATTATTGTTATATGGTCCTCGAGGGTGTGGTAAAACACGTCTTGTGGCCTCCATGGCCTCGGCTAAAGGGTGTACCTTTATCACAGCTAATGCCTCTCATCTTCTTTCATCCTATGTTGGAGATTCAGAGAAACGTATTGCTGCTCTGTTTCATGCTGCGCGCTTGGCTCAGCCTTCAATTGTGTTTATTGATGAAATTGGTAAGCTATTTAAATTTAAGGTTTGCAGTTACAATGTTTCTTTAAACAAAATTCATAGTGTATCATTTATAATTTTGTGCATTCAGTATTTTGGTTAAGGTATTCATGTGTGTGATGATTTGCCAACTGCAGATGTGGAGTCACAATAAAGTGGCTGAAATATGTTGATCAAACCACACACTTGAAAGTGAAGGGACAACGACAATTCGGTCTGTCCTGGACCATTCTCAAGTCGATTGTGTGACCATTCACACAATCGACTTGAGAATGATCCAGGACGGACCAAAACATCATCGTCCCTTCACTAGAAAATGTGTGGTTCGGTCTACATTTGCCAATTTATGTAATCTATTTAGTATATCTTAGTCTTAATGTCATAGCAAAACAGCCAGTTATCACAGAAGCACTGCCTGGTTGTCATCTCAAGGAAAGAGATCAGCTGCAGGCAAAAGTTTGTTTCATATACACTTCAGTGTTGATTGTTTTAATATGTCACAAGTTTGTGAAATGCTCCATACAGATAAAATTATTATGAAGGATTTTGTGAATGCTATAATTTTACTGTACCTTCTGTTCATTTTGCTCACAGATTTCTCGGGTTCAAAATTTTTTCTTAAATTGTATTGGAGGACATTTACGTAGAGAATATACTGCCCTTCATCGGCTCATCCTCATGAAAATGAACTGTAACTTGTTGTTGTCGTCTTGAAATAAGACCACATTGGCAGGCTATTTTAGCCTGCCAAAGTAATATTTCACCTTAGGGACTAGAGTGAATGTTTCCAGTATCATCCTTGTGCCATTTAGTCTGTACAGGGACCAGATGGAAAGTTCCGTATGGCACTGGTGCCAGTATATCATTGTTCATTTTCTTTTTCTTCGGACAAAGTGGATCTTTCTTTATGAATTATCCTCAAGATTTGTTCAGACAAATGCTCTTCATGTAACTCGAGTCCTGCTTTTATGTATAATTAATTTTTTTTATTTTCTGTTTCTTGATTCTTAAACCTTGAACCTTGCAGATGGAATATTTGGATCTAGAGAAGGCAATAGAAGTAGCATCCATATCAGCATTTTAAATGAATTACTTCAAGCTATGGATGGAGCTGATGTCAGAGCTACCAGTCTTCAAGGGGCATCCCTGCTCTCAAATACTCGTACAACTGCACATGTAAGATGCATTGCAGAATTAATTTGTATTCAGTATTTTTTAAATTCATATTAGTCATGGCTCAAAAAAGATTCTTAAGCACCCACCAGCCATAGCATGGGACAGGTATGAATTTTGCCGGATAGGATTTCACTAAAAGAGGAAAATCTGTTGTGGTGTGTTTTGAGTAAACTTAAACTGAGCTGTGTAACTTGGGCCAATAAGCCCAATAATGTGCCACATGTGGAATGAGAGCTGGTTGCAAGAACAACAGTACAGTTTTGAGAGCAGTTATATCTTCTGGAGAAAGATAGAATTGGAAAACAAGAGGCAGGCATGGCAATAATTGTGAAGGATAATATACACTTTGTAGAGGTACCAGTACAGTATTTAAAAAAAACTTGCACCCAGCAATAGGCAAAAAAACTTGCACCCAGCAAGGCAAAATAAATACAATGCACTGGGTTGGTGTGCAGAAGAACTTTTGTATCTAGCTGCAAGCTTTTTATAAACATTAATGTTAATAACAATAGAAAAAAAAGGGTGAGTACGAACTGTGCACATAGTACAACAAAGGATTACATAGCTTTAAAGCCACTATCCAATACTTCCCTCCCTCTCTTTTTGCTTCATATTATGTAGGAATATACAACCCGTCCTCAGACCAAGTCCATTCCATTCAACGGGCGGTCCCAAGACTCATTCACAAATTTTAACATGCTGTTCATTCAAAACAGAAATTTTCTTAAATATAAATTTATATTGTTTTATATGACCATATTGTACATATTTAGGCACTGGTTACATTAGGTTAGGTGTTTAGGTTCTGTTGGCAATTATTTGTATTTGTAGTACACGGATGAAGCATTTACAGCATTGGGGTTCGAACAAAATTCGTCAGTGAAGCACTTGTTCCGGAAGTGTTCAAATGTCATCAGTTGAGTCGTGTGTAAACCGTTTTTCATTCGTAAGTAGGGGGTGTGGAGGGTGCATGGAATGGATTTTGGGCCTTTGTTTAGAGGACAGGCTGGAATATAACATTAGGAACATGTGAGGATTCACTGTTTTTTGAAGCCCAGTTAATATTAAATAATTAACATTGCATTTTTTATTTCTTTAAGGATGGAGTGTTGGTTTGTGCTGCCACAAACCATCCAGGTAACTTGGACCCAGCTCTTTTACGGCCAGGACGATTTGACCGTCTGATTTATGTTCCTTTGCCTGATGATGATGCACGCCTAGATATTATCAAAGTAAGCATATGGCAGTTCTTGAGAATTAATTTTACTAGACATCAATTGACCTGTACTGTGTGAGGATGCTGAGTGCAGTGAAGGGATTGACAGAGGAAGCAGAGAATGTGAAACCTGAAATTAAATCAAGAGTGTTAGAGAAGTTGGTCAGCATTAGAGAAGGGGTGTTAGTATAGCAAATAATAGTAATAAAGGGACTTAGTTACTGAGTATACTTGTCCATATATGAGAAATCCATTTTGCTAATTTAATTTATGAGTTTTGCTTTTGACAGTATAAAAGAATTTGGCAAGGATCTGTTATTAAATTGATCAAATCTCTTGACATTTTAGAGTGGAGAAACTGTTTGTGCTTAAGTAAATTATGATTGAGCTTTACTCTTTTATGGAAAAATATGTACACAAAATGGTGTAAATTTAAAATTATGAACCCTGGTAGTGATCATGTGGTTGTATAAAAAAAATTGCACTAACGATACTAAATTTTCGAAAAATGTGAATGTTATACAGTATAGTGGGAGTTCTGCTTAAACAGACCAATTTATACTGGACCACTTACTCTAAAAAGAACTTACATTGCATTTAGACATTTATATTTTTTTAAATTTTATTATCTAATTTATTATGGTTTTATTAGTGTAAATGATGGAATAGGCTTAAACAAATATTTTTTTACCAAAATCACTTAAAAAATGTACATTCATAAATAAGTACAATACTGTATTTTGCTGAATTGATTTAACAATTTTTGGCACCAAAATCTGGTCCAGCAAATATTGCTCACTGACTTGCTCCACGAGAAGTCTTCCATTATTTTCTATTGCAGCTGATCACAAGAACCTTAAACCAGAAACAGAACATGATCCTTCCATTTCATTTGAATCTTTTGCAAACTGGATCCCATTCACACCTGACCCCACCGTGCAGTATTACAGTGTTATTTTGCTGTACCAGTACAGCACAATATACAATACTATAAACTGTGATTGGTTTTATATAAATAAATTACAGCTCAAGCACAACTTGTTGAAGCTGTCATTTTCTCACCTCAGACTGGTACGCATTACATGCTGAGGAGTCACGTCAGAGTGCTTGTGTGTACCTGACTGCTTTATCCACAATATAAAAAGTACTAGAATTCATCACCTTAAGCAGAAAACATAAGCTTTTCTAACATAGCCATTTATACTGTACCATACCAATAGTAGTATCAGATATCCATAAATGTTATCTATGTATGTTGCACCGTGTTGAACCCAGGCAACAAACACACACACACACACGTTGAGGAAATAATGCAGAGGTGTCGTGAGAGTTTGTATGGAGTTGTGCAAAAATAAAATTGTTTGTGGGGAAAATAGTATATTGAATGTAGAGCAGTAAATGTGAGTAATTTGTGGAAGGGTATAAAATGATGACTTGTACTGCATGACTTGTACTTTCTATGTTAAAGTGGTTTATAAAAAGACAAAATATGAGTGGTTGAAGTTTCTGTGAACCTTGTGAAATATGTTACTGCTATAGACAATTTTTGTGGTTAAATATTGATCAAAAATTAAAGTAAAACTGAAGATCACTTAAGGAGTTTCAGTTTATTGGTAAAGTTATATTAATGATCATCAATATTATCTACATTATATTATATTGAACTGCTACAATACAGTCCTTCATGTTGAAACCTTTCTTATTGTTTGCATTTTGCTCTTCTCCCCTCCAGCCTAAATACGCTATACAGTACTATGTATATATTTTAATTGCATTTGTATATACATATTGCAGCTCAAGACCATGAAGATGCATGTGGAATCTGAAAGCGTTTTAGAATTATTAGCACGAAAGACTGTTGGCTTTACTGGTGCAGAGCTGGAAAGCTTGGTGATGAAGGTCTGTATATTTAACTTAGTGTGCATATTTTTAACATTTCTTTTTATGTGTTACACCTGGTGTATACATTCATATATAATTATTAATTCATTCCCAACTTTCATTGGGTAGGGAGGATTCTATCCTGAGAAAATTTGTTAATATTATAGTGTGTGATATAGTGTACAAGTTAAGGTAGTGTATTATAGTGTACAAGTTAAGGTAGAAGGCGGTGGAGGCCAAAACCGTCAGTACAGTAGTTTCAAAGAGTTATACGACAAAGAGTACTGAGAAGACGGGACACCACGAGCGTAACTCATCCTGTAACTACACTTCGGTAATTACACATACACACACACGATATTATTATACTGTATCACATATTTTTATTTGAGTTTTGTTTTTTAATAACAAAGCATGTAGTGTATGAGTATTTATTGTTTGGATTTATGAATTACAGGCAACCATGGCAGCAGTGAAAAAGCATCATTATGATCAAGATTCACATTTAATATTTCTAGAAGAAAGAGATTTACTGGATGCTCTTCAGTTAATTTCTCCAGCTGTTACAAGTAAGGAAATTAAGGCTTATCAGGAATTTGAGAGAATGTTTAATTCTAAGTGATACCTAAACAAAATTTATCAATAATATTATAATTATTTTTGTATGTGTATACTGTTCTGTTTTATAACAATAAATCTTAACAGCAGTCATTGTATTGTCATTTGTCATTAATATTATGTAGTAATACATGCAGTGTCAGTACATTGCAAACCCTGCTCCCTACCTCCTTACAAAATATATTGTCCAACTTAATATGGTTTCTAATTCCTTGACCAATTAATGGCCATTCAGGCTTTTCAGTAAATAAGTCCTGTTATTGCATCAGTACAGTAGGTTATAAATCAACAAGTATTTTGACTGTTACCTGGTAGCAGCATAAACTGGAAGAATGAACTTCATATCATAAAAAGTATCAACAAAGGTATACACACATATCTTCTTAGATTTTGGCACCTTCTTTTAATAGTTACTTATTCATAGATGATAGAGCCTCTATAATGTGCGCTGTTACATGCTAATTCAACAAATTACCACCATAGCTTTCAAAAGGCATGCTTTAATCAGTCAACAAAAAGCATGAACACTACAAGAAATACAGAATAGGAATTATTTCCAAGGAACACTGCTGCATCACTATGGAGTATGCAGACAATGTCACAATAATGTGGCTGAAGATATGATGACCAAACCACACACTAGAAGAAGGAGAAACCATGACGTTTTGGTTCGTCCTGAACCATGAGCCTTCACACACAATCTGATAATGGTTTAGGATGGACTGAAATGTCATCGTTTCTACATCTGATGTGTGGTTTGGTCATCACTATGGAGTAATGACATATTTATCTCTAAATAATTGATGGAAACCGTTATAATTACAGTATTTAGTTTATAAACTGATAAATTGTAATTAGTCTTTTAAGTTTAACAGAAGAGGAATCCTCAAAGCTGTAAGTTACATGATGTGACTCAGTAGTGCGGCTATACTGTACTGGACAGATAGAATGTGGCACACACTTCGCATTAATAAAAAAAGGCTGCATTGGCCTTTGTAGTGTGAAAATTGCACAGGAGTGAAGGAATACTCAAGGGAAAAATTGTCAATTTACTCTAATATCAAAATTAACAAATAACATATGAAAAATATACAACACCCGTTTTGACATACTTGGCTAGCACATACGAGAAATAATAATCACACAAATACAGACTTATGTTAACCCACAAAAATAAGGGTGACACTGGAAGTATTTATATGAACAGCTACAACTTGGATGCAAAGCAGCTGTAGACAATCATCACGTTGAGACAGTAATGTTCCTTCCCTGAGCACCTGAGATAGACTGCTGCTGAGGAATACCCTGCTGCCCTGGTCAGCAGTCAGCACCCTGACTGCTGACCAGGGTCATGGGTATTTATACCACTGATGGTGATGTCACATCCTTTGTCACCGAGGCTTGGAACGAGGAGCCGGCGGCATAACAGGCTGTTACCTAGACGTAACAAGGAACTGGCAGGTCTTGCAGCTGCCCAACTGCCTGGGGATCTCAGGCTGGGTGGAGTGTGTACTGGTGGTGGTGTCCAGACATTTGTCTGGAGTGAACTCCATACTGGTCGTAATACGCCTTATGCAGAGTGTTGAATAATGAAGGTAAGAAGGAAGAGGCAGTTTGCTATGCTGGGGGAATTATGTGACTTACATTAATTATTGTATATTAAATTTATAATATAAGGAGGAGAAATTTCCCATAGCATAAGTTTGTAGACCCCTTCATCCTAAATGTCAGTTATTTTTACCTGATTTACCTAATGGTCATTAACCATAATGGCCTCGACGAGAACAAGAAGCTGGCGGCTTGTTGACGGTCCCTGCATTTTCCTTGATTAAGGCAAATGGTTATTGATTTTGTTTGCTATTTAGCTCTACAAAATACTTTACTAGACAATTACTGTTAACCCGAGTTATCCTGTATCGTGGTCATTAACTATCATCAGTTATATTATCATTTGTTCACATTTAATTTACTTGTTAACTTACTTATTTTACATGAAAACTAATTATTGTTATTCACATTAATTATACACCTTATTATCATCATTTTATAGTTTGTTATTTTTCTTATAATACTTTATATATTTATGGTTTATAATTTACTAATTGTATCAATTCTTAATGGAATTGTTTCCTCATGACCATAAATACATATACAGTACTGAAGATTGAAAATTATAATAGATACCCTCCTAATCAGATGCGTTTTCTTTGTTACATTAATGTAAAAATAGAAAACTTCATATTTACTTAGTTTTTAGTTCACTAAGACCTTAATAAAACCTTATAGATCTGAGGCAGTGAAATCTACATTATCAATTCTGTCTGTAATCATACTATCATGCAAGAAGAACCACACATCTGTGGATCATCCAATAAAATCAGCAGACTCCTATAGTTGTTATTACTGCTTGGCTTAGATTCAGTTATAAGTATCTCAAGGAATTTAATTATTTATTATTATTAATTAAATTCCAGATATAAACAAGTCTAAGGCGGGAAATAGTAACATCAGCATCACCTGTGGAAAAAGACCTGACCAAATTAAACTGTTAGCAAAATTATTCACACCCTGCATCACTATATGTGTGACAGTGCAAAAAGATACATGGATTTAGACTCACTCTAGGTTTAATTTAGGTTAAGGTTGGTTAGGTTATGTTTCATTAAGTTTAGTTATGTTGTACTATTGATTATGTGAAATGTGGAATTCAAAAACTATTTCAGTGTGCCTGAGAATTCCATTTACAGAATACCAAATTCTCCAAAGAAAAAATTTTCAGCATACACTTTTTATATTTTAAACCAATGCATTATAATACAATAACATTATAACTTGAGAATGATCTCTGTTTATAACAAAGGTTTATTTGCCAGTTTCCATGTGGTTATTATTGGAACCATAATATACTTTTAGATCATTGCACATGATAACTATCCAGGTGATGTGAAGGAGAGGTGTGGTTTCTCATGATAATAGATTTGCTATGAGTCGTATTGTGCCCACTGGGTTCCTGTATCAGAATCGACACATCTTTAATAAAATGATTCGCCCATATATAGTGCAAATGTAATTGATTGTCAACAGAACGAAAACACATAACCTAGACCTAACTATGGATATAATATTTAGGAATAAATATGTAAATGTGCAAAAATAATTCACATGCTTGGGATATGTTACCAAGGTCTGTGTGGTTCTTTGGTAATTTGTGATTCCCTCTCTGTAGTACAGTTGGATTTGTTCTCGACCTACAATCTGGAATCCCGGGTTTGAAACAGAAATGGTTGGACTCGTTTCTTTTCACCTAATGCCTCTCTTCACCTAGCAGTAAATAGGTAGGCGAAAGTTAGTCAACTGTTGTGGAGATGCATCCTGGGGAAGGTCAGTAGTTCAAATTTGAGTTCCATACAAGCCCAGTGTATATATGTATATGGGCTGCCTGTCCCCGACAAAACTAATTATTATTATATAATGTCATGGGTTCGTATCCTGGCCGGGGAGGATTTACTGGGCGCAATTCCTTAACTGTAGCCTCTGTTTAACGCAACAGTAAAATGTGTACTTGGATGAAAAAACGATTCTTCGCGGCAGGGGATCGTATTCCAGGGACCTGCCCGAAACGCTACGCGTACTATTGGCTATACAAGAATGTAGCAACTCTTGTATATATCTCAAAAAAAAAAAATAATCATAGTTGTTAATGTAGTTGACTGGTACAGGCTGTTACGGTGACAAACTTTCGTAACTTTCTTTGTGTAACTTTGTGTAACGTATAAAAGTGTAACTTTCCAATTATCTCTGCCTCGTTTGTGTGCAGTTCGTGCACGACGGAAGCCGTGGTTACTTGCACCGTCCTCACGCCTTATCCGATGATTCGGGAAGACTGTTGAGATTAGTAAGTTTGCAAATTATCATGGTAAATTATTTTTAAATGGTTTCGCATTTGGCACACAGGTGATTGGTCCTGGGTTCGATTCCTAGGAAGGGGCGAGACATTTGGATACGTGTCCTTGCACCCGATGCCTCTGTTCTTCAAGCAGTAAATTGGTATATAGGAGTTAACTTTTGGGATGCATTCTTTGGTAAGATTAGTCGTTGGCTAGGGGATCCTAGGTACACAGGCTTCCTGTCCCCCGACAATGGGAAACTTGTCCGGGGATACATTACAACATACAACACAATATGTTATTATTGTGACGTATATTTAAGGGAAAGTTTGATAGCGAACATTTTGGCCTGAAGTAGTTTCTCTTTCACTAGTAGAACAAGTTCGAGAGTAGAAAGTTGCTGCTACATGGGTAGATTAGTGATTAAAAAAACTATCGTTGTAGTATGTGACCGTCAAGGGGGGTGTTGCGAATCATTGCGTAACTGGGTTCAGCTTATAAGTTTTGTGAATAATAAATTTCCCTCTTTAAAATGTAGTAGATTCATTTGTAATTCCACACCAGGCGGCGCCCACAGAGGAGGTGTCTTATATCTCGATACATTTAAGCCAGGCCCTATGTGTTTTTTGCCAGATATTATATCCTGGATGGCGAATAAGGTTGTTCAGTTGAACATTTCATTGCCTTTGAGCGATTCTTAGGTCAGCCACCTATAAAGGCTCATATGAGTGAGGCACATCCATCCCAAGTATCCCAATGGGTGAGAAGATTAAGGAGAGTGTTCCCAAGTACCGGTATTGTTTTAATAGACGTGGGAATTTTAGCCTTGCCCCGCGCACATTCCTGGGGTTAGGGGCAAAATTCAGGAGCACGCTTTTGGCTGGAATGCGCAGGTGATGCATCAGTCTTTGGTTAACGTCGAGAGGAAAGGTGTTGCTACGAAGAACGCGATGTGTTAGTGACTTTACAAGAATGTAACTGTGTTGTTCTTATAATTTTATTTATGACAATTAATTTTAGCGATCAAATCAAGTACCTGTAATAAGAATGCACTGTATTTATACATCAAAACTCACAAAACCCCATTGAATTTTCTTGTAAATAATTATATAAATGAATAAGCTAAAAAATATGTAAATTGGTAAAGTAATTATTTAGTGTGTTACACATTTGTCGCGAAATTTATTAGCTGGTTCGCATTTGT